CCCATTTCGCACAGGGTTTTGGTGATTTTTCAAACAACCGAGCTCAATTTACTGGAGTTGCGTCGAGTCGTCACGATTCCTCATCAAACATAAATGTTATTATTTATTGTTATTTTACTTTTTTTTTGTGACTTTTTCTTTGTTAGGTTGAGCCAGTGAAAAAACGGCTGAAGTGGAAAAAAAACCCTTTTTTAACTTGAACTAAGCATTTTTAATTTCAAACCTAGGAGATGGTATGAAACTTAAACATGCAAAGTGAATTTTTTATAAATATGTGAGAACTTTTTGAAAGACAAAATAATTAGGCCCTTAGAAGAGAGCATATTAACATTAATTTCACTTCAAATTAACAATTATATAAAATTAAATAGAAATACATAATTCGTCTTTTAGTTTTAGATTTTATTTAATATAAAAACCATATGAAAATAATTAAAATTAAACCATACAAAATAAAATACATATAAAAATGAAGAATTCTTCTAAGGGAAAATTGAAAAGTGAGTAATTTTAGTTTTTAAGAGCCCTCTTATTTTATATTTTTTTAAAAATCTCAACTTGAAAAAAAAAGAAAGCATTTGTTGATATATTTAATTTTATACAACTTTAAATTTTAATTGTTATTAATTTTCATATGGTCTTCGAAGAGTCCAATTGTTTTATTTTTTTAAAGCAGGAATTTTTTCAGTTACCTGCTCACATTTCTTACCAGTTATGGTTTTATGATGATTTAAACAAAGGGTTCATTTGAAATTAAAATGGGATAATATGAAGTAAAAAAGGTTAATTTGAAATTAAAAAATGTTTAATTTAAAAATAAAAATGGTTAATTTGAAATTAAAAATGGTTCATTTGATGGAAAAAGCCATCATAGAAGAGCTACTTTTTGCTGGATTATTTAATACATAAAACTTAAATTGTAATTTTACTGTTTTTTTGTTTTGTTTTTTATGATTGTTTTCTTTATTGGGTTGGATCGGTCAAAAACGGCTTGAAAAGTCATAAGTGACAGCAAATCAGTGTCGCCCATTGTTTTCAGATGAAATGAGAAATTGATGAATACATAAAGAGTTGATTTTTGCTGGAATTAATACATAAAAGTCTTATAATTGTAATTTTACTATTTTTTTATTATGTTTTCTTTGTTGAGTTGGGTCGGTCAAAACTCAGCTAAAAAAGTCAGAACTGACAGAAAATCAGTGTCGCCCACAGTTTTTAGAAGGTATGAAGAATCCATGAATACATAGTTGAGTTTTTTTGCTGGATTTAATACATAAAAGTCCTATAATTGTAATTTTACTGATTTTTTTTATGTTTTCTTTGTAGGGTGGGTGTCATCAAAAAATGCTGCGAATATCAGACGAAAATTTACATTTCCAATTCTTTTCTATGTTAATTTCGCACTTAACTGAAGTTTGTTTGGAAAACAAATAAAAAAAGGGCAGCAAATCAATGTCACCCATTGTTTTCAAAAGATTTGAGAATCCATGAATGCATTTGCATATCTGATGATTTTTGTTTTGAATTTTTCAATTTTTTTATTAGAGATCTTGAAACTGAGGGCAGGAGGTCGGTCACTCAATCACTGCAAATTGTCGTCCGTCGTTTTACCGAGAAAAGCATCGGGCAATATAATTGAAGAGATCGATGACTTTTAACGCAACTCCATTCTTTATAATGAATAAAATACCCAAAAAAACCAATATAACTTTTTCTTGTTATGTCAGTTTTGACAGGTCTTCTCGATTACAGAACCTGTAATTGTTCGAGCGTTACGCTTAAGTGCAGCGACTGGAGAAAGGGCGCTAGTCGACGTGTTTTCAGGCCCTGTATTTACCTAAATTTATTACTCAACTATGTGTCGCTCCATTTTTTTTTTGTATTTTTCATAATCTGAATCTGTAACTATGAAATTCGGCCATGGTAAAGAGAAAAACATTCTATTTTTCTGGTTCACTAACACAACGAAAAGTTATGAGCTCCTAAAATATACACACTAGGAAATTTTTATTTTGTTCGATATTATCTTGTCATTTTCTGCTCGAGGACATTGTCGGTTCACTCTTTGTCGCCTGGGAAAAAAGATCCTATTTTCATATGCTAATTCCCAATCCGAACAAATCGGCCAATTCCGGGCTGTGAACGAACAAATGTCAGGATGGGTCACTCAGCAGCAAAGAACAGCGTGCACGAAAGGTCTTTTTCATGCAATTTCACGTCTCATTCGATAAAAAAGCCCATATCTTTAGTCAATTTGAGTACATGAAAGATAGGCGGATAATTTAGCAGTTTTCCTTTCGGTATATGTAACATACACAACGTTTTTCGTTTTATACAAGAATACTTGTTTTATTTTTAATTTCGTTTAATTTTTGAGATTTTCTCTTGGGGTCTTCCAGGGTGATGAACCAGCAGTTTGGGTCGTTTCCGATCATTTAGGTCTGCCTTCTCGCTGTTCTGGTCTGTCACTCTCGCCTCCTCGACATATTCAGTGGTAGGTTTTGTCTTCCAATGAAAAAAATCTCACAGTCTATATAATCGGAAACGACAAAACTTTAAAACTACTTGGGTAATAAATAACTGATGTATTTTTAAAAGCTAGTCATGCAATAACGGTAAAGAGCAGCAGATCAAGGTTGCGGTTAGTTTTATTTTTTCTGTGAGAAACGTATCGACGAATACACTCGAACCTCTATTTTTAGGCGACTCTCCACTACACTTAACAAAAACCATTTTAGTATTGCAGCTAAATTCACAAAATGTACAATTTATGAAGGAGAAATCGAAAATAGAAAAACTATTGTGCTTTACGTAAAAAAGATAAATAATAAAGTAATAATAAAGTAAATAATAAAGATATAGATAATTAAAAAGAGTAAAAGCTAGAGTGCAAACGTAGAACAAGAAACAGTCAACTGGGATGATCGAACGTTTCAACTCATGTTTCACTCATTTAAACGGTTATGATTTCATTCGACTCTTTTGAACGTAAGGTTCTCACGACATTTGTTCAACTTTACTTGATCAACTCTTTTCAAGAAAAAGATCTCATGAAAGATTTGTTCAATTATAGTTGATCAACTCTTTTAAACGGAAGGTTGGGACGACTGATTTCGTTCAACATTAGTTGATTAACTCTTTTGAAGGAAAGGTTCTCACGACAGATTTTGTACAACTTTATTTGATCAACTCTTTTCAACGAATGGATCTCACGACAGTTTTTTCAATTACAGTTGATCAACTCTTTTGAACAGAAGGTTATCATAGCAGATTTCGTTCAACTTTTAATTGGCACTCTTTTAAACGGAAGGTACTCACGACAGAGATTTCGTTCAACTTTAGTTGATCAACTCTTTTGAACGAAAGGTTCTCCCTACAGATTTCATTAAACTCTTTTGAGCATAAAGTTCTTACGACAGATTTTATTCAACTTTTAATTGACCAACATAAGTTGACTCGTGAAAATACGCCTTTACAAATGACCGCCTTTCAAGTTTATCTGGTACATTTATCACACAAAAATGAACAATTCCGAATCTTGATTGTGTGATCATCCAGACAGTTTCTCAGTTTGAGTATTGCAGGTTTCACAAAACGCTCAATTTACGAAGAAAAAATTGCAAGGTGAATATAATTAATGTACTAAATTGAATAAAGCTCCTTGAGTCTATCGAACCGTTTCAGTAGTTTCTATTTAGATGCATGGTGAAATTTCTTAGAAATCGGCTAAAAATAGCGGTTCATGTGTATTCGTCGATACGTTTAACACAAAAATAAATATAAACAAAACGAGCAACACTGATCTGTAGCACTTTGCAATTTTTGTGATACTTTTTTAAGTACATTTAATTATAAGTACCCAAGTAGTAGTGAAGTTTTAAAGTTTGGCCGTTTCCGACTATTTAGAAGAATATGAGAATATTCAATCTATTGAATAATTGATATGAGATTTTGTTCCTTGGAAGAAAAAAAACCCACCACCACTGAATATGTCGAGTCTGACTGGTCAGAACAGTTTGGAGGTAGACCTAAACGATAGGTAAACGATCCAAACTGCATGTTCATCATCCTGCAAGATCACAGAGAAAATCTCAAACGATAAAGTTTAAACGAAACTTTTCGCCCCCCATGTACTCAAATTGATCAACGATATCAAGTTTTTTGTTGTTGTTTTTTAAATAAAAAGTAGATGTTAATGGTGTATTTATGAGCGTCTATTTAGGTATACCATCTTGTATCTAAAGACCCTAGATGTTAGGCTGGTCTCACACTACAACGACTTGGTACGACTATGGCTACATTGAAACAGACTTGACGAAGCCGTTATTAGTGGTTGCTGTCATGAATTTTGAAATATTATTTTGTATTTGTAGGTTTGATAAATTTCGAACAATAGGGATCTCCTGCACATTGCCGTTATTGTTCAAGTGTCAAGTACTCAACTAAGTCTGCATTCGTTTGCTGTGTGAGTTTTGCCTCAGGCTGCTTATTTTTAACGGTTTGAGAAAAGGATCGAGATGGAGAGGCTCTCGTCCGCCCCGTCTCGCTTGTTTTGCTCATCGGAGTCTCTTCTCCGTCTACATCCGATGAAACGTCCCAAACTGCGGGTTCGAGGCCCCCGAACTCGACAAAAGAAGAGTTGTAAATATTTACTCTAACTTGCCTATGCCGAAGTGGGGAGAGCGGTCGGGTCGAGTTTTTTAAATAAACTGGTAGCGTAGCCTTGGTCGAGTACCCGGAGGCGGTATGTCTTCACATCGAAAGAGGCCCGCCGACACCTGAGTCCTTGGTCGCCACTTGTTTCTCTTGACAACTCCCCTTCCCTTTTCCTTTTTCTCTCTTCTACCTTATCTACTCTTAATATGAATTTAAACGTGAAGGAAACTGGAAAAAACAAATCATTTTCCGTTTTTGTTTATCGGATGTTTCTTATTCGGTTGAACGGTGGAGTATCTTTTTGATACGCAAAATTGATAAAATAGTAAGATGAAAACTCTTACCTTTTTCGAGTGGCATGTTTTCCGTCCATCTCTGTACGAGGCCGTCGGGGAAAGCGGCATTCGTCATCATAATAAACGAATATTATTGTAATCCGAAAGAAAGCCTCTGGTGATTCGAATGCGCACACACTTTCACCGCATTCGGCCGCTGGTCCTGGAGCAGAATTCACCTGAAGATCTCAAGGGGATCGCAGACGCACTCGAAGTCCGTTGATGGGGCTTGATAAAAGTCGAGGCCGGCCCTGGACGGAAAAAACGCGGCTGAAAACTGTTGTGGAAATCGAGACGGAAAAGAGAAGAACGAGTCCTCCGTGGGCTGTGGTCGAAACTGGTATTGTTATGTCGTCCGTCGGGGTTCCCCACTCCTTTCTTTTCTCGAGCGGTCATTGATAAATGAAAGCCTTTTGGCTGTGCTTTCCAACCTCGGTGGGGGAACGAGAAGAAAAAAACTTGGTACGGATCCAAGCGCTCTCTCTCGCCCTCGAACGGCAAACGAAGGCTCTTCCGTTCTGCTGAACAGGCGAATCACTCACAGCATACCGAGTACCGACTGTGACGGCCGTTTGCTCATCTCATCTCTATGTCCGCATGTTCTTCCTCGTTCAACTCGTTTCTTTTCTCACCGCCATCCAAAGATGACATTTCAAAAGCCCCTTTCTCCAGTCGTCGCACTCCACCTCGTTGAATTTCTGCAACTAAGTCCAACCAACATGTACATACAATCCCAATTAAAGGCCGTTTGGTTAGAATCAGAATTATGCCCTCGGCGATATAAAAATCCCCAGGGTGAAAGTTGCATGCGCACACGAACGTTAACAAATCGCATCAGCAACACACAACTTTTCAAGATATGTTTAAACTTGAAAGGAATGACTTGAACAAGAAAATAATAAAAAATGTATTTGCTATAATGGAAAAAGCAAAAGTAATACTGTTTTATGAATTCAAGAATAGTATATAATAACATTAATTTATCAAAATGAAATTTGATAAAAGTTATACCAGTTCAAGATGATCAATTCTTTTGAACGGAGTTCTAACGACAAATTTCATTAAAGACTTTTGAACGAAACGTTCTAACGACAAGATTTCGTTCAACTTCAGTTGATCAAGACTCTTAAACAGAAGGCTCTCCCGGCAAGATTTCGTTAACACTTTTGAACTGAATGTCCTCACGATAGTTCGTTAAAATCTTTTGAACGAAAGGTTCTCATGACAGGATTTCGTTCAACTTTAGTTGATCAACTCTCTTGTACAGAAGGTTCTCACGGCAAGATTTCGTTCAAATTTAGTTGATCAACTCTCTTAAACAGAAGGTTCTCACGGCAAGATTTCGTTAAATTACTTTGAACCGAAGGTACTTACTACAAGATTTCTTTCAGCTTTAGTTGTTCAAATATTTGAACAAAATCTGTCGTCAGAACCTTTCGTTCAAAAGAGTTGAACAACTAAAGTGCCCATCAAATGTAAACGTAACTTGAAACGTGAAAAACAAGTTGACTGTTTACTATTCATTTTAACACTACGCATAATACTAAAACTTTGTGTGGATCACAACAAACTATGGCAGATCCTTAAAGAGATGGGAGTACCAGACCACTTTACATGTTTCATGAGAAACCTGCATAAGGGTCAAAAAGCGACAGTTAGAACCTGATAAGGAACAACTGATTGGTTCAGCATAGGAAAAGGAGTACGACAAGGATGTATATTGTCACCTTGCTTATTTAATATATATGCAGAGGACATCATGCGAAATGCTGGCCTGGAGGAATCACAAGCGGGAATTAAGATTGCTGGAGAAAAGATCAACAACCTCAGATTTGCAGACGATACCACTCTAATGGCAGAAAGTGGAGAGGACCTAAAGAGCCTCTTGCTTAGGGTAAGAGAGGAGAGTGCAAAAGTGGGCTTGAAGCTCAACATCAAAAAAATTAAGATCATGGAAACCGGTCCCATCAATCCTTGGCAAATAGAAGGGGAAGTCGTGGAAGTAGTGACAGAATACACGTTCCTGGGATCCCAGATCACCGCAGACTGTTACAGCAGCCATGAAATTAAAAGACGCCTGCTCGTTGGGAGGTAAGCGATGGCGAACCTAAACAGCATGATAAAAAGTAGAGACATCTCCCTGCCAACAAAGGTCCGCATAGTCAAAGCATTGGTATTCCCAGTAGTCATGTATGGCTGCGAGAGTTGGACTATAAGGAAGGCCGAGCGCCGAAGAATAGATTCTTTTGAACTATGGTGCTGGAGAAGGCTCTTGAGAGTCCCTTGGTCTGCAAGAAGATCAAACCAGTCGATCCTAAAAGAAATCAACCCTGACTGTTACCTGGAAGGCCAGATAATGAAACTGAAGCTCAAATACTTTGGCCACCAAATGAGAAGGGAGCACTCACTGGAGAAGACCCTGATGTTGGGAAAGATTGAAGGTCAATGAAGACGGGGACGGCAAAGGATGAGATGGTTAGACAGTGTCATAGATGCATCGAACATGAAATTGAGTCAACTTCAAAGGACAGCAGAAGACAGCTTCGGAATCACCTATATATGTTTAATAAGTTTTTTTATATGTATCTTAATGTGTAAAAAATGTGTCTTCTTTCTTTGTGCCATCCTGTACTTTTAATATCTAGCAGTTTGTCAAATTTTGCTTCAACATTCTTACGTTGTTTCTGTAACCATAATTATTTATAATTATTTTTACATAATATAACCATTAGTTCCTCTCTTTCATTTCTTCCAAAAACCTCGCGTTATCCAGAATTTCCAATTGCCCTCTCGAAACATTAGGCGAAGTGGTTTAGTTATGAACCAGTCGCATCCGCCTAGGTAGGAAGGCAAGTCGTCAACAAAGAACAAAAATAAAAGTATGCTTAGTATGCTACCTTGAGAGACTCCCATACAATTTTTCATTATAACCCACTACTAACTTTTGAAACGACCGTAGGCTTTCTTTCATGTAGGTGCAAAACTACTTGAGTATTTTACACATCAAATTTACTGATAAAAATTATCACAAATATCGCAAAACTATGGCTACGAAATTGTGAAGTATACCAAAAAATAGAGTAAGTGCCTTTGATTAATTAATACAATACTAATTCCCAAGCACCCTTGAAGAGCCGGAAAGGGTTGAAACTGTAAAGTGGTATAACCGATTCGAAGGAATGTAGTCTTATAAAGTATATATGAAAATTGAATAATAATTAATAAAATTTCATGTTTAAATGGCGTTTTTATAAAGCAAATATTTGATAAGAAAATTGAGAATTTGATATGAAAATGTGAATCTCGTGCATTAATTTACATCCATGAGTGTATATCCAGATCGTGAAAGTCTTGTCTGTCCTGTCTTAAATCTGTGAGGAAGAACGAGTTGTTAGCCGTTCCTACGATCTTAAAAATTGGAAGGCCTATTTACAGGCATTATGCGGCAATTGATGCATTTGTAGGCCATGGGCTTGCCTGGGGCCACACCGGACACAGAGGCAGAAATGATCACTGTTAAAAACTCTCAACATTTTTCAGATCAAACTTTGCCTAATTGAAAGGATTGAGGGTGCTTTGATTGTTTAAATGATGATTTTGACAGAAAACTTACTAGTGTGTCCGTATAAAGATTCCCAAAAGGGAATTTTAACGGATTTATCTGGAAATAAAATTTATTGTACATATTAATATTAGAAGTAGGAATATTTCGGCTAATTGTTGGCAAAGCGTATTGTGTAAGATTGGGCAATCGCAAGTGGTCTGGAATATCGGGAGCCGATCCCGTCTTTCTCGAAAACTCCTGACGCAGCTAAACAAAGCTGGCGACATGGTAACAGCTGGATGTTTTCGACTGGGGGGCAATCGCCCCAGAAAAATTTACTGTTGTGCTGATAAGTGGCCTTATGGTCAACCCTAGGATTAGCTAATGCCCGTACTCATCCGGAGTAGCTAGGAGGACAAGGGCAGTCGGGTCACCAGGAAGCATAACAGTATATGAACGCCAGGAGGAGTCGGCGTCGGCTAAGAGTTGGCCCGGAGTAGGCCAGGATCCGGCGAGAAGTTCGCCAGGAGGAGCCGAAGTCGAAGAGGAGCAGGCCAGGAGATGGACAAGAACCGTCAGGAGAGCCGGAGTCCGTAGGACCGAGGTCGGCTGCCTAATATTGTGAGTAATAATTTGTCAATCAGTTTGCGGGAGATTTGGAGGCTGCGGCCGAATCTTGGGTAATACGTTCCCCAAGAATTGAGCCGATAGATAAAGAGAGTTGTTAAATTGAATATAGAAATATTTATTTAGTTTATAAGTTTTCTTTTATTAATTATTAAAACGTGAATTGCATAATAGTGTAATAAGGAAATTACCGATTAATTTATAATTGTCGGGGAATTGTCCTGGTAGAATAAAGGGACTTGGATATTTCACCCTAGTCGTTGTATCTTTTCCCAAACCTACCCCTACAGGACTTAGTAGTTAGTAGAAACTGGTGGGAGGGGTGCTCACCCGTCAAGTCCGGGCAACCTGACACATCCTACCCCCCTTCGTTAAAGGCCCTTCAAAGGGCTTGACGGGCCTACAATGGAGTAGCTCAAGATCGCGCACGACTCTCGTTCGATCGACCCCGCTCGCCACAGTCCGGATTGACTTTAAATTCATTTTTTTTTTTAATTATCGAAAGGCAAAGCCCAAAAAAGTGCTTAAAGAAAAGGATCAAATCAAATACTGCAATTATGTGATTTAACAAGCAAAATAACTAGACGGTTTGGCACAGGTAACATCTGGAGAAATATGAAGACTTATTGCCTCTCGCCCTGTTTATATCCCTGACTTCGCGTCCCACTACGGTCATTGGCACTAATTAAAGCACATTTAAAACTAGAAGGATGTATAATTAGGATACCAAGAAACCGATTGCGCCCGTGTTAAATATGTACCGTTGCCAAATGCAATTGCTGACTGAAAAATTTGTGAAATTGCGGTAACAAATGTTTTGTGTTGTAAAATTTAGTGACTTCCAAAAATATTTTTGGTGCATTGTGCTTTTTCAACATCGCAGTTAAATAGTAGTCTCGTTCTGGGATGTGTTATTTGTCGAACTAAGTAAAACGTCCTTCTTTTCTTCTATATTGGTGGTTCTTGGGGTTTAATAAATTGAGGCAAACGATCAAAACAGTCAGAGACAGGAAAAGGCTCATTTTTTCATAGTTTCGGTGAAAAATGGTATGAGGAATAAATTTGCAGTTTTTTAAATCTAAAAATGCATCGTCTGTTTACTCTTAAAGGCTCAGTCTGGCTGAAAAGTAGTCGACTAATTCTCACGGGTTATTTTTGTATTATTTAATATTTTGTAATTAGGATCATTTTAAAAATAAACTGTGAATCACAATAGCATTTTGCCCAGCCTCTCAATCAAGGATTCGAGTGAGCAAGAGAGTGCTGTTGATGATGGAATGCTAGTAAGCTGGGGTTGTGTTTTCCCAAGCACTGCAGCATTTTGGCTTGTACTTATACCTAATTCCTTAGTTCAGTTAATTGTCAGTACAATTCTTTTTCCTACGGTGTTCTTGATACACTAGGTTGTCTCTATTGAGTGGCAGTTTCTTCCTATTCATTCTATAACCTAAAAATGTGGTCTTCTTTGAATACACCCATGGTGGAGGTGTTTTCTCATATGCCAGGGACCGGTATGTATTCCTATAATTCACTTTGAGTATTACCAGCTATAACAATTTGTCAATTTTATTAGTGAGGGTTCTTTAGACTGTGAGTTTATTATATATGGCACCTCTAGACTTCGTCCATTTCTCATTTTCCTTTGTCTAAAGCTATTCTGAGAAAGAGGATCCTAGGTTTGATCTTGCTATCCTCATTACAGGTTCTGAGCAATTAATCAGCCATTGCTGATCTTTCTCAGTTTGTCTGCTTGTTATTATGTAAAATATATAAATATAGTTTATTGTTTATTATTATTATTAATAATGCTTTTTGTTATTGTTTTGTTCATGTTATTTTATAAATTTTGTTTATCTACTTCTTAAATGGTTTATAACCTCGTGATTTATATTCTCTGTAAAAGGATCTTTGATCCGTATGTACATGTAAATAAATAAATCCCTAACCCTGACCTAACATAACATGTGAAAAAAATTATGATATGGAGTGCAGTCAAATAGTCCTCCTTTTTTGGCTTTCCACAATTTGTCACTTTCAATACTGTCCAATTATCTAAACTAAATAAAAGAAAGAAGGACCAATTACCTAACCTAACCTAAACATATTAATTTTTTTGTTAATACATTTAAACATAAATTAAAGGAAATTATTTTATAGATTGTTTTGAAATAAATATAGTTGTAAATAAATATATAAAATATAATTCTTCTATTATATAAAATATTACATAGATAAGAAGTCACGATAGCTCAAGTGGTAGAGTAGTGGCGTATTTAGCCAAAGGCCGTTGGTTCGAATCCCGCTTGTGACACTGCCTTTTTTATCTCAACCAAGATCTTACACAGAAAGAATAATTTATACAGATTGTGTTACGCTATATGTTATATTATTAATATTATATAAGATTTATATAAATCTATATAATGTATAATATAAATAAATCTGTGAGTAGAAACATCATTTACAAAAAGTTATCCTGTATGTTATGTATATATGAGTAAAGGTAAGAGGTACCAGGGTAAGGCATGATATTCTTTGTACCATTTTTTTATTTAATTTAATTATTTCATTTTTGTTTTAGTGGTCAAATGACCATGTTACTTCTTTCAATTAATTATTCTTTTTATGTAATGTATGTTCATGAAAATGACAAAAAGAGGGAAAATTCGAACGGTTGTAGGTTGAGATGGAGGTGGTGTCCGAGAGGATCGAAGTCATGATGGTCAAGCGGACCACGATATTAGTGAATTTAATGATTTAAAATGAAGTATACTTCACTAAAGCTCTCCGTAGCCATTTCATTTGTCGTCGAGAATCCAATCCGATTACACGACACTTGAAAAATGGCAAAAAGGAGGGAAAAATTCAAAAGGTGCGGTTGAGATGGGAAGTTGGTGTCCAAGTGGATTAAGGTCACGATAGCTCAAGTGGTAGAGCAACGGCGTATCAAGCCGAAGATCGTGGGTTCGAATCCCGCTCATGCCATTGACTTTTTTATCTCAACAAAAAACCTTAATTAATTGTAATATATTAATTGGTCAAGCGGACCATGAAATTAGTGGTTATTATTTAAGTACAATCAATTGTTTTAACGTGTCTGTGTTTACATCAGATGAGTTAACAATTAGGTGTTGCCTTTGTAAAACAAACATTTTTGTTTAAATATTTATTTTTAAAACTGGTTAACAGTTAAAATACATTTACAGTAGTATCACAATTCGAGTACTGTATTGGTAAAAAATAATAATAAAATATAAAACAAAATATGAGACAACATTAAACAGGTTATATTAACAAGCAATTAAACAATCTTTGCCATTGTAGCTCTCATGAACTTTATTTATAACCTGTTTATTTAATAAAACTTATAAAGCAAAACTTGAAGCCTACTGCAAATATTGTTAAAAATAGCAGTGCAAATTTATCACAGTTTGATCTTAATTACTGGTTTAAAAAAATAAGAAAAACTTGAAACATTATAAAGTGTATTATTTATTCTCGGCCAATTTATCTCCTGTTTTACCGACCCATTGTTCTGTCAATTTTACAGGACAGTCAAGAGCAATTAGGACAGCGTTGCAGTCTTGTGATATCTCTTCGAACTTGATACCAATATGGTTCACAACTTCCTCAACACCCATTTGAATAAAATATTCCTTCAGGTGTTTGTTGTGAACCGCGATATTTCTCAGTGCCCAGCAGCAATTCCTCTACAATATAAAGAAATTAATTAATGGTAACCGGATTAGTTTATTTTTATTTAACAATAAAAATACAGAACTATATAGTCAACTCTTGATAATTTGAATAAATTCTCTGGTTTCATGTTATGGTATGGTAAATATTACATCAATAAGACAAATTAGAGCCAAATATCAGGAATAGTATAAATAAATAAATTGTAAATAAGTGGCAAAAATGATCCATTAAGGGGGACTTCACTGTTATAATTTTTATTTTCCTCTGCTAATATGTTTGTTCCAACAAACATCTCAGTAGTTGCAAACTAATCCGCCATTTATTGACTAAGCCCTAATATGATTGATCAGAAATTCTTAACTTTCTTAGGATTTTTCCCAATTTCAGACTCCTACAGTGGAACAGTACCTTCCATTCTTGACTAGAACCCCGAGAACCAATTATTTGGTGCTCCTGAAATTCAGACTGATCCCCACTACCACTATCCCGATATTTATAGGACATTTTAGACCCTGCGTATATGGCGAGTAAAGGGTAAATGATTAGAAGGGCCAAGGGTTGCAGTTGACAAAAGAATACTCCTGCCATGTTAACCAGCATCTTATTTGAGGTCTCCCCCCCATTTCCAAAAAAACTTCTGGATGTATTTTATTTGCTTTTTCGGAAAAACTAATTTCCCTGAGGTAATCGGGTTGTGGAAGGAAATAAGGGCTTCATTTGAAACAAAACTAGTCAAATCCTTTTTTTTAAATTATACAATTTTTGTGTATCTGAAATTTTTGTTTTATTTCCTTTCAAAATGAGTACATACTAGACCAAAAAGTCTATATTAAAAAAAAAATAAATAAATAAATTTAAAAAAATTACAGGCAATCTCTGTAAAATTCATTCCTATGCATTTTAATATTTTTAGAGCAAATTAATAGCATATTTGAGGGCTTTTTAGTGCATATAAATCCAAGCTCTCTAGTTATTTATAAGAAATTTCCAATTTGACAAGAGCGAATGTACAGAGAAACGTCTGTGCATGTTTCTGGTGGCCAAATTCTCGAACAACAGATTGTTTTGATGGCCGTGTTGGAACAGCCGTCTGACAATTTGAGTTTGCATGCGTAGCACGTTGGAATGCCCAAACTCAACTGTGCATGCATTCACCAGTTTCCTAATGGTTTGGATGCATGATGGAACAAACCTATTGATTTTTACGTGAAAATAGTTGAACTAACCATTGATGTTGGAGAAATGCTGAAACATTTCTGACAGACCAAAATGATCATTGACGGCCAAATTACAGATGTATCACCCCATAGACCTCATGGAAAAATCACACAATGTATCTTAGTACTCTTCTTTATATTCCTTATTTAATAAGTTTTAAAAATAATTTTAAGTCCAACTGTAGTAAGTTAAGTAATTTCAGCTTATCAAGAGTTTACTGTAATACTTAATCTATAATTAGCCAAATGGTTCATACTAACATACCAGAAGTTCCACATTACACAAGTGCACCTTCATAGCTTGGGTTATCAATTCGACAACACCTAATTTGATGAAAGCCAAGCCATATTTTTCCATTCTCAAAGTCAGTTTCGATATTAATAATGCAATGCTTTTTACCATAGTCGAATCGGTCTTAAAAAGGAACAAAATTATTTTAAAAGAAATAATTAATTATATAAGTGTCAATTATTGTACAATATAACTCACAATATATTCATTTAGCAGAGAAGTTATCTTCTCAGCTGCATTGTTATCCATGATGTCACTTTTTACATTATCGTTTCCGGCCAGGTTAGTCAAGAGTTTTAATATCCTTCTAGCAAGGACCTGAAAGAGGTTTATATGGTAATGTTGAATATTCAATTGAAAAAGAACCATATCAGACCATGTAATCTATTAAAAATAAATGTTTTTATATGAATGTCTATTATGTCAATAGTTTCACGGTACAAATAACAGACTCTCTATTATCAAGTCTCCTAATGTGACTAGTTTGACTGCAATTCAGTCTTTAGGGTCAAATTTAAAGCAAACAGTTCAGTAAAGAAATGATATCTGCCCCTTGCAGATCTGTCTCTTGTGTGAAAGCCGCCTGTAAGAAACTCATATACGTTAACACATTGGGGGGGGGAATGTTAACACGTTTTTTGCGTTCAAATGGCTAATTTTGAGGTTTATTAACTTAATTCTTGTGCTAATTAATTTGATTAAAGTAAAACCTTCTACAGTAAATGCTTTCTAGAGACCAAAGAAAAAGAGTGCTATAGCTGGGAAAAAATAAAACAATTGGAAAAGATTTATTTTAAAGTGTACTATGTAGTGTGTAAATAGATAAATAATAAATTATGTGTATATATGTATATATACATATAAAAGTGAATGTTCATATGGCTAAATAAATTGTTGCTGAATTAAACTAAAAAGTATTATTAAGGGAGAACTGCTGGCCTCAAGGTAAGGAACCGTGACAAGACATGACTAAAAAAAAAAATTTTTTTAACATGTTCATCTCTTAATTTTGAGAGGTTTATAACCTTAATTCTTGTGCCAATTGACTCAGTCAGTAATATAGCAAAACTTTCAATATAATATGAATAGGCTGGAAACAATTTTTTTACCTGGTTTTTGCGTTTATCTCGTCTATTTTGAGGTTTTCAAGCTTAATTGTTGCATCAATTAACTCAGGAGGGTCCGATTATAGGAAATGAGCATAATAACCTTATGTTGAGAGGTTTACAAGGTTAATTTTTGTGCTAATCACCTCAGAAGAATCAGCGATTTTATAACTTACGATGTAGTATAAATAAATTAAGGAAAACATATGGTCTGGTTTTTGCATTCATTTTACTTATTTAGAAATGTATAAGCTTAATTCTTGGCCAATAGACTCAGCAGAGTTGATTATATGAAATAAGTAGAAATACCTATCAATTTTTATTTTTTAGTTATCTAGCTTGTTTTGAGAGGCTTACATCTTGTGCCAATTGACTCAGGTCAGTGGTTTTGTTAAAAAACTTCCATTTTAATATTAACAACCCAGTTTTTGCATTTATCTCATTTATACTGAAGTTTACAAAATTATTCTTGTGCCAATCATCACGGGACAGTTGATAGTGGTCTTAATTGAAATATTGAGAAAGTATACAATACGTTTTTGCATTTTCCTTAATATGTGGTTTATAAGAGTAATTCTTGGCCAAATTAATTAGGCTGGTCAATTATAGGAAATATTTTTTTCAGTTTATCTCATATATTTTGAGGGGGTTTTAAGGTTAATTCTTGTGCTGATCATCTCAAAAGGGTTGATGATTCTGTATGAAAACTTCCAACATAGTATAAATAAATAATTGTTTGTTGCGTTTTTCTTGTGGTTTCTGAACTACGAATTCAAACTGAAAAAATCCCTGGCTGAATATACTTGAAGTAGCAGCAAGTCAAGACTGTATCGTTCGACTCAGGATCATCTTAATTGAATACTTAATTGTACCAGCAATTTCATCCTAGCCTTTTGGTGTGAAACCCTTTAAACTGTACTACCAGAGGGAGAAAAGAACATCATCTCAGATTTAAGAAGATATCCATTATGAGTTGGTTTCAGAAGGGCTTCAGGCAATTCTGTACTCTATTTGTAAATTTTTTTGCAGAGATGAGACCTAGTGTTAAAAAATGAATAAAATTGGCATCAAGCACGTCCTAAACTTTTTTTTTAAATTCGGAGTACCACCTAGCAGCATGATAAAATAGCAATTAAATATTAAAAAAATGCAATTGTTTTAAAACTAACAAAACTGTTAGTAAAAATCTAACATGATGAAAGAGCAGAACACATGCAATATTTAAGTGGTTAAACTTGTAAGGTTACCAGATTGTATCTATATTCGTTGAGCATGGCCATGATAAACTTAATGCCGTCATTTCTTGAGACTACTTCGCAGAATTCATTCCTTACCATTATGGAACTTAAAGTATTTACTACTTCACTTAAAATATTTTCATCTTTGACCACTGAAAGAATAATTAAATAATATACAAAACTGTAAAAAACACAGACTGGATGAATTATTTTTGCCTCACCGTTTAGAATTTGCACTAGAGGCTCTAGATACTCAGCTGCGAAAGCACAGGCGTGGTTATGGGCATTGGGGACCAGCGCTCTGATATCATCATCTAAAGTCATTGCCCATATTAAGCCACAAGCCCCTTTTAGGAGCATTGTATCAACATCAGGTGTAATAAACTTTTTTAACAGCGTAACAATATTATTTGAGAAGAATTTCTTCAAATTTGGGAAAAAATAATAAATATTATAATATTGTTGTATGTTTTATCACTGAGTATGGATAATAATATAAACTGTTCATACCTGTCTGTTTGATTCGTGTTTAATACAACAAACCGAGGCCCATCTGAGTGTCAATTTTATCACAGGAACAGAAACTTCATTCTCCAAAAAGTATACTATTTCCTTCACACCGTCGTCATCCAATAAATCAGGATAGCCTAAATAAGGATAAATTAGTAACAAAAAATTATTGAGCTATTAACAAATGTTAATTTAGTTGAATCCAATGTACCGTCCATAACATCTGTCAATGTTTCTAAGCATGACACTACAAGAGTTTCATTTCCCTTTGAACGGTTTAAAAGGCGTAACAGTGTGTTGTACAAGCCATTCTTTCCAGCAAGCATTTTGTAAGCTAGATTCGAACTGCACAGTTTACGGCTTTGAGTCAAATTGTAGAGTATTTCTGAGCACATTTCACTTTCAGTACCAGCATCGTGAATTTTTTTTAGGTTGTCGACTATTTGCTTTATAGGGTCGAGCCCTCGAGCCATTTCAACTGTTTTCACAATATTACTGAGATCCACTCCCTGGAGAAAAAAATTATAACATTTTATAAAATGATTTACATCATGCAAATTGTTTTACGAGGGTTAAACTCCTTGCCCTGAGCACATCCTGTTGCATGTGCTCAAAACTGAGGAACCTCGTTCCACAACAAGCTGGACACACAGAAAAAATAATAAACTATGTGTTCTATGAGGCACAGTTGGGGAGTTTAAATCGCAACTGTTTTGTACAAATTCAACAGGAACTCTATACAAGGAACGCTCAGCCTCAATCAGCAATCACTGCACTCAACTCTCATTCAACATTCAGCCCACATTTCACACTCAACCCCGTTTACACCCCACAATGTGCAACCAAAGGAAAACCGCTACCATCCAACAATCAACGGTTGCACAGTTGTTTCACAACTTCGATAATTGTGTGGACTGAAAAACATAATTTATATTACCTACTCATTTATTATATTACTGAAATATTATTACATTTTATTAATTTGATGTGTTCATTGTTTGGAAAATATCTATGTATTATAATTCTTTTTATTTTTATTTAAATTTTTTTTTTATTAATATTCAATAAACTTACCTTCACAAATGAGTCTTAATGCCATGTAAATTTCATCGCATTTTCTGTAATTATAGCACTTAGGTCTGGAAATACATGCGGAAAATTTTGAATCTTCATAACTTCTCCCCGTTGCCAAAAATCTCAACATAGCTGAGAGCTGTTGATGGGGAATAATTACACCCCTTATAACAGTCTGCTCTTGAAATTATTGGTGTAATTAAATTTAGCAAATGCTGGTATGTGGCTTTGTCCATAAGCAAATAGTTGAAAAAATTGTGAGGCTCATTACGTAATTCAGCTATTAAATTGGTATAAGAAAACAAACCCTTTTTAGGAACCATGGTTTAGACCATTTCCTTTTATTCGCCTTCAATTTGATCCCTTTTTTGAATGCAAACCACAGCCATAGCAAGAAGTTAGTTCATTGTCAAAACTTTTCATTTTGACCACAGAAAACTACAATTTTAGGGTTCCTCACGTCACAACTGTGCAAACCAAACTGTGTGAACAGCAGCATTCCATCCAGTTGTCTTGTGCAAATGACTTGAGCAAGTAAACAGGCTATTATGATATTAAGACGGGCAGTATTGCAATAAATGTTTATGAATCTGTTTTATTGTATTTTTGGAACCCTACCTGCCCCTACACAAAAAATAGTTAAGTGCATACACTATACGTTCTCTTATCGCTGAGGAATAAGCACATAGTGTCGGCGCCCTCTTTCACTGCTATATCCTACTTAATAGTTGTTCTATACATTAAATATTTTTAGTTAAGCTAATTTCTGTCTTCTGACTTGCTGGTCCTTCAATGCTGGGTCTGCTCACATAAATTTTCATAATGGGTTATTAGCTTGTTTGTGGGAGCTGAAATGACAATTGTCAATTGCTCCCTGTGCCGGAGGAAGGATAGACTAATGGATCCAAGTCTGTCAACATCAGAGTAGATGATCCTAATCGGAAGACAACTTATGACTAGAATTAGAGAATTCCTGTATGTACTGGGTGCAAGACTGATTTATTAAAAAAATAATTGGGCTTAGTTGCAGAAATATACCCTTAAACCAAAAGTTTCGTAACAACTGTCACGCCTACGCAGCACATGTGTGCATTCCTGCTTGGATAACTATCTCCTCTATGAATATCATTTAAAATAAAAACACGAACCATACAAATTATAAAAAAATGATACAAGTGTTATCTTACTTGCGCTTGGAACTGTTGTATAGTTTCGGCAAGTGCTTCTTCCGAGTTCATGTCCAGTTCGGTCACGTTCTCACGAAACGTTTCGTTGAACGTCTCCTGTGTGATGATCTTCTTCATATTGACGATGAAGTTGAACCGATGATGGTCAAAAAGTTCGCTGATGAGAGATGGTGAGATGACAATAGACCCTTTTCAACGGGAACCGGCTAAGGAATGAACACACATAGGCCTTTACTAGTATAAAGCACACGCCGAACGGATGACGGATGCGCATGCGCCAATGTAGTGGGGAAGACTTACCGAGCACTATGTTATTGTTCATTTCAGATTTGATTAACAAGAAAATTTTCATCCAGTTGGTCAACTATGATCAGTAGTAATCAATATTCATTTTAGTTTGACTACAGAATAAAAGGTATATAAAAAAAGAGGACTTTGTGAGTTAAAGTCAGTACGTGGTGGCCCGCCGAACGAAGCTCGAGCCACGAAGCAGAGTGGGAGAAAGATTTCGGTCGGAATTTAAGTTCGTAAGTAATATTGATTAAAATTCAAGTGTAAAATTGTATATGATTTGTTTTAAAATGGCTTTTCTATTAATTTGGTCATGTTCTGTTTCTAAAATCGACTTGTGCGAAGTACCAGGCGAAAAAAAGGATTTCGCGCCAATATTTTGAGTGGAAGAAAGTGAGAGAAGAGTCGCTCTTTTTTTAATTAATTTTTATATCTCAAGTCGAAAATCCTGTCTTGTTTGCTTTAAAATGACTTTTGCGTGTATTGGGTGAAGTTTGGTTTTTCAAGTCCACCCGTGTGAAGTACAAGGCGAAAAAATAAGCATTTCACCCCAAAACTTGACATGGCGGAAGGTAGGGGCGCAGTAAGACTTTCTTGATAATTCTTTTTGTTTAAATCGAAAATCCGGTATCATTTTCTTTAAAATGGCCTTTATATTAATATGGCAGAATTTTTGGTCTAACTTCTACTTAACTTCGGTCTAACTCGAATATATTGGCTAACGTTCAGCTTAGAAAGGGTAACTGTGCCATTTAAAACATTATAAAGAAAATGGCGTGCCTCCCGAATTCGCAGATTTAGTAGGAACTTCTGAAAATTGCGAAATTTGTGAGAAACAGATGAAACGTGTGATAATGTGACAATTAGACCATCCAAATCGCTGCTTATTTACCACTCGATGATTCTACATTGATATGTATTAATTACTTTGGAAAACCTCCATAATCACTGATCATTTACAGATATTTCGACGAGTGGCCCAACCCAGGCTTTTACCAGCTAGAATCAAACTCCAATTGGAAGAATAAGTTATGATTCTTAGCCATTAAAAATCCCTGAGCATCCGTAGACCTGTGAAAGCGAAATACACATGCAAAAGTAATAAATAAGGTTGATCTTTACGAGTGTACATTTTTATAAGTTCTTTATTTTAACATCAACCCTTGATTTAAAAAGAAAAGCAAAGGAATAGAAAGGAGATATTCCAATGATATATGGTGTTTCAGTAGTTCATACAGTACTTTATAGATGATCTCTAACAATTATGTGAAAATTCACTCCTGTTATCCTGATATCAACAGAGAATTTAGTTTATCCAGCTCTACTATCGACAGGAAATCAGGTTTCTTAAGCTCTCTTGGTACTAAGTTTTAATACTTTCAGTCCTGATGATGATGAAAGTAGGAAGTGGGGTTTATCTTCCCAAGCACTGCAGCCTTCTGGCTTATTGTACCTTCCTAGTTCAGTGCAATCGACTCAACCCTTCTTCTCGGAAGTATTAAGTCATTGACTGTTGTTGCTAGTTGGTGGTGTACTCCTGGGGTTGTTCACTATAATTTCCTGATTTACGGTGAAACTATTCACCTATAAAAATAATTACCTATAACCTATAAAAATTAAAAATAGTTTTGACTGCCTTTTCAAAACCTGCATTATTTTTGCACCAGCCCAATAACACGGATCTAGCCAAACTTTACAACAAATAGTAGGGCTTAAAAACATTATAATACAGAAAAGTCACAGGTGATGCACCTTAGTCTTACCTATGAACCCAGACATGCCCAAGGCACAGAAGACATACCTCAGGCAAGGGTCGATTCACAGAGCCATGAAATAAAGGATAAACAGATCATACAAGTGCAAGATATTAGAACAAGAGTCAAATCACCGAAATGTAAATGGGCAAAGCATATTCCAAGTATATCTTCTGTGGTGGTTTGTGATACTCTGTCTTACCTAAGAACCCCAGATTTGGCCCGTGGCTCTAAAAACACTGCTCAGACTGGAGACGACCCAAACAGCACGACAGGGACAAACCTAAAAGACGAGAAGCACAAGGATACAACATGAGAAAAATCACTTAAATGGAAATAAGAGAGAGAGAGAGAGAGAGAAACTACCATCGTGCAGTTTCAAGTGTTTCCGTATCAATTTTCTGAGAATTACATTAGCGTTATTGCGCTCGTTATTTGATATATATGTTTTTTAGAAATTTACGCTTGTTTTGGAATATTTTTATGGTAGAATATCGAGTGACGTCAAAATAATAGTCCACTTGAGATGCCCTGGCTATCCTTATCTCGGCGAAATGAGCGGTTGTCATGCTCTGTTGATTGAATATGTAATTTGCGTGATAACATTCGTTAGTTGTACTTCTTGGTTTTTGAGACGTTTTGGTTAATTTAAAACTTGTATTTACATTTTTTGGGATGGGGACGATAATCGGGACGTGCGGCGTTTATTTGGGATGCATGTCAAACGCCGTCTATTTAGAGTATCTCGTCAAGTGAGTCAATTATTTTTTCCATTCTGTGTGCAGAAATGCCACGTAACGTTTGGTTGTCTTGCCAGTTTAGACATTTGCCGGCTCTTGATTAAATTATCTATTTATTTTAAAAAAAATCAACACAGTTACATAAAAAAAAATCCATCTTCAATATCTCTCGATTCACCAAACACTAGTAAAACTAAACAAAAAACTAGTTCTAGTACTGTGATATATAGATCAATGGTTCTTGATCAGCAAGTGTGCTGGATGAACTAGTTCTGAATATGAACATCTAAGAATGTGTGGATAGGAGTCGGTGAACGCAGTGCAACTAGAAACGCAGGAACTAGCGCATTTGAGTAACATCACAAACAGTGTGCATATGGATCCAGTTCAACATCTAAGAAAGATCAAGCATTATAGATCAGAGTGTGCCAGATGGTCGCCATGAATGATCAATGATTTTGGTTCAGTGAGAAAATGCTGTTTGAACTCCAACCTTCTCAATGAAACATCAATGTATGATCGATGATTATGATGCGATGTCAATTCTGGGGGATCCATTTATACTGATATTAGCTCATTGAATTATCTGTGAACGTACAATTATTGCAGATCTGCTAGAAAGTGCTACATGAACTACTGAAACTAGCTCCTTGTAAAATCTGAGAATGACTAATGATTTTGGTTCAGTAGAAAGTGCTGGTTGAATTACAGCTTTCTCAATGAAATTTCAATGTATGTAGCTCATTGAAATATTTGTGTGTGACAAGTAACAAACCTTCACGCCCTTTGGACCAGTACTGCAAATTGGCACACAGCAGCATTTTCTGCAAAAAGCAGAACTGAACAAAAAAAAATGATCATGACACTGGATGAATTCACCAGGTGCAATACCAGGCAAGAAGTTTTTCAATAACTCAACCATAAAAACAAAAATCTCTCAGCACGCAAGAATTAAGGATAATAATAGGCTACAATAAATAATAAGGGAAGAGGAACTTTAGAAAGCACCCAACTACCTTAAAAGTAGTGTATTGTTTGAGGTTTGGAGGTAGTTGGATGTTTGGTTTTGAGGTTGAACTTAATTTGAAAAGTATATAGCTTTGATTAGGAATGTATTTTCAAAGCCCGTAGCAGGATGGATGTGCTAGACATCAACCTAAGTAATCAATGTGGTGTTGACTTTACAGGGTGGTCCAGCATAAACCCAAAAAAAATACACTACATCCTAAATAAAGTAAAACGCAACTAACCGAACTGTTCTATCCATCATTCTGACAATCCATTCGGAAATTATGAATTTGATGATTTTTTTTCCAAGATCTAGAATCTCTTTTTATTTTTTAAATAATGTTGTCTGTTTAGGGAAGATCCAGGAATTGGAAATTTAGTGACCTTCTCGAGCTTTTTATTCATTGCTGTCGTTGGTGTTTTATATACTTTAATATTCAGGACGCCAAAAAGGCAGATCCCTATTAGGTAAGTAATTTGAACTCTTCTATGAATAGTACAGCTTTGTATAATTTATGTTTCAATATTTAAGTAATAGATAATTATAAAGTTTGAATTTCTTTTGTTTCACAATAAAACAGACTAGAATGAGTATTCAGTATTGATTAGAATTAATTTTTCATATTTGGATTTGGCAAACAGGATAAAATCTTTTTATGTTTGTGTATTTTGTATTATGAAACATGAGTGAAGTGTTTGCATTTTATTAAAAACACAGGCCTCCATTGATTGACACTGATTTTTAAAGGAAAATGTGCACCTCCAAACGTGTCGTTTTCAGTTTTATGTATTTTATAAAGTATAAAGTAAATTCAGCTAAAATGGATGTGGGAATTTTTAAATGGGTCAAATTTGATAGAAATTTCTATAGTTGCAGAAAAATACAACATGAACACTCTATATGACATTTGCATAATTATTCTAGAAACCAGAATTATAATATAAAAATATATAGTGTTAAATAAATAGAATAAAAATTTGATTGGAGTAGTTTATTTTTTAATGTATATATATACAGGGTGTATCAGAATTTCCCAGCTAGTAGTAAGTTATTGTACAGGTCATTTGTAATGTAACAAATGCTTCTTTAAACCTTGGCAAATTTTGAACAGTTTTGGATGGTCGTTTCAGATCATTTTGATCTGACTATTTGACAGAAATTACTCAGGCCCAACATTGGAGACAGCAAGAAGACAAAACGCACCTGACAAATAAAAACACCAAGGATAATAATAATAAAAATAATATTTAGTTAAAAGAAAAAGTAGAATACATTTTTTTGCAAAGTAATTTACATGATGGTTTGATACAATTGTAAGTTAGGAAAGAGTAAAAGTAAAAAAATAAGGGCTCACTTTTTTTGGGGGGGAATCGAACCCACGACCGCGGCGTGTGAGTCTCTCATGCTAACCACTCGGCTACCGCGGTCCCCTAAGGGCTCACTATGAAAACAACTAAAAATGAAACAGATTCATTAAATACTTCTGTATGCCTTTGCTTTCCTGTTTTGTAACTTTTAGCATTGCTAAAATGGTGGGATTTTTGATTGACTTACTATAAAGTAGAAATCTTAAGTGAGATGGCTTTAAAGTATGATTTTTTTTTTGACAGACTTCCAAATAAAAATTACAAAATATGTTTTGAAGAATAAAAGCTCTGAAACTAATAGAGGGACCTTATGGTATACAGATGGATCTAAAATAGAACATGGTGTAGCAATCAAAGGCCCAAATTTTAACCTAGTGAAACCTAAAAGGTGCAGAGATATTCAGGCAGCTAAGCAGCACTGAAGTCTTTAGACCTTAATTTATGCGTAACATATCTTCTGGGAAAATGAATCAAACTCTGATGTGGGTACCAGGAGAATTGAAGGCAATGGGCATGCTGTCAAACTAAAACAAGCAGGTCTAGCTCTCACACCCTTTGGACGCCCCAAATCATGTTAAAAGTTGGATTAATTCACCAGGTATAAAATAATCAAAGAAATTCCTGAACATCTCACCAGTAAGACAAAAATCTATGTCTCTCTCAGCAGGCAAGAATTACCATGTAACTGCAGAGACATCAGAACATATCGTATGTGGCTATAAAGCTTTAGCCCGAAAACAATTTGGCCACTTTGGAAAGGCTACATATCTAAAGAAATTAAGTGGAGCCCCAGAAAGTGGTCAGCTACATCAAAGGTAACACTTTCTAAGGTATGAAAGTAAAGAAGGATCAATTCCACATAGATCTTCTAGGTTGTAGGAGAAGAAAATATTTCAATTACCAGTGACCCTAGAAAAAAAGTAGAACTTGCCCTCCATGAACTGGACATTCAACCAAGAAGTTGAAATTGTTTTCATTAGCACACATTTCTATGCCTCTTTTTAAAATATGACTTCTGTTTAAAGAGATTATACATGTCTTTAAAAAACCAAGAAAGATTTGAGTGGGTTCCAGTTTCACTAATAGAGCTATATATAATAAAAGAAAGAAACTTCACGATTGTAAGCAGAAAATGCAACGAAGACTGCTTCAATTCCAGGTAAACTTAGGTTGGATTTAATAGTCTGTAATAGAGTTCTGGCCAAGAAGAGGGATTATCCAAGGAAAACCCCGAACCATGTTCTCACATGTTGTTAATCTGGGAAATTTGTGGGAAGGATAATTAATTACTTTTTGTTTATAGTTGAAGTGAAGTATGAGGGTAAATAGAAAAAACTGAGTTAACTGTTGTTTCGATGGTTTTTCATTGGAGTCAATTGTTGAAAATGCCAAATTTGACTGGCATAACAAAAGATCATGCATAAAAAAGGCATAACAAAAATTGATCCATTAAAAAAAGTTATTTTAGCAGACCGACTTACCAAACCTTGAGCTTTGTATTCCGGCCAAAGTCTTTCAAAATCAGCGGTGATAGACACAACAAAATGTTTGGAAACGACCAAACTACAGGTTCATAACCATTTTTGATGAAATATTTCAATTTTTGGAGATATTCAACATTTATTCAATTTTTCACAGTTAACCTCTATAAAAATGATCATAACTCATTAAGTATCTACTATAGAACAAATCTGACAATACCATTCAAAAGAAAACTAAAGCTTTTATAAGATGGCAATGTTTTACCTAGTTATCTTAAGAAATATCACGTTTTGTGACTTAAAAAAGCTGATAATTTTATACTTGTGATCTGTTGTCAATGCTTTATGATTCATGACCATTTTTTATGTGAGGAAGTGGATACATTTTTTAAATATTAAATTAAATATTCATATTCAAGTGTTTTGCAAACCTTTGCTTGTCACCCATTTCTCACATGTTTTGGGTCAACTATAAAACAAAAATAAAAATTGATTTCAAACCAAAGTTGTAGTTTAGAAATAGTAAACAAAAAGTCCTATGTTAAAAAAGGGTTCTGTTGATTACTTGGATTGGATTAATTATATTTGCTTTAAGAGTTAAAACCCTATCTTTGTATGGAGGACAATTGTAAAACAAATGAAAAATAATAAAATGTCAAATAACTCAAAAGCATTGGGAACTACATAGTTTGTGTATCTGTTGAAATTATTGTTCCAATAACTGTGCGATCCTCAGGCCTCCCAATGAATTAAATATCTTTGATGTTAACCCACATCTATCCATTGATAAAATTAGTTATATTATTTTTGTATACAAAGCGCTTTTACTGTTCTGTTTATTTCAGGAATTACATGCTAGTTGTTGTGGTATTTTTCACCTGCAATGTGTGCAACAACATGGCATTTAATTTTAAAATTTCAATGCCATTGCACATGATTTTTAGATCCGTAAGTACAAATTTTTTGTTTAGCACATTTAATCCCTTTTTATTGCAATTACTTTAGTAGTAAACATTGAAATGTCTCACTTCATCGGTCTGTGTCTTTCTTCCTCTTTGTCCATAATAAAATTGATTATTAGAATTATGTATTTATTTTATTGAGTTTCTGCAGTAAAATAAGCTAAAGGGGAAAATTGTGTTTGTATTCATCTTGGTTGTTCACATTATTACCTACTGTGTCTAAACTTGTTCATTGATAGAAGCTTGTATTTCTATGATTTTTTTCCCCTTCTGTTACAACTCGTTGCTTTAATTTGTTGTGTGAAACGCATCCTATGACCTGCCCAATTTTAAGACAGCTTTTATACACATAGCATACTAAATTATAGTTAAAAGGAAACAAAACCGACTAAATGTATATCGTTGTAAAAATATTCAGCTCATATTTAACATTAGAGATTAAGAATTTTTTAAATTATTAAACAACTGTATTGTCTATGATTTTAGGGTTCGCTTATTACAAATATGCTAATGACAATTTTAATATTAAGAAGAAAATATGCATTATCCAAGTATCTATCTGTTGGGCTAATCACTTCTGGCGTAATTTTATCTACGCTCGCATCAGGAAAAGAAATGGTAAATATATATTCTAAATACACACAGACATACATATAATGTTATAATATAACCTGCTAAAAGTGAATAGGGATACTATTAATTTTAATTTTAATTAAATTTACCGATATATTCTTGTTAGTTGGATAAAATATGGATAAGAAATGGCAGTAAAACTGAGATTTAAACAAAATCATGGTTAGATAGTTATGTGTGTTATTTATACATATATATCAATGTAAAATAATTTATATTCTATTTTAATTTTTGTAGAAAGATGCTGATAAAACTGTCGAGGACGGAAGTTTTTTCTTGTGGCTTCTAGGTAAGAAAAATACTTCTACTTAATGTTAGTTTTCTTTGGTATTTGCAAGCTTTATTGTTTCAATATGATCCCATCTACCAAATGAACAATGAATCTATGGAATGAAGAGATATGCATAGTGAGGTTAGAAACATAGGAGGAAGCTTGAAGAATTCTTCTGAGGACTTTTGATTGGAATGCTTGTATGGGTGTAGTGGATGACTATGATGCACAGTTCTGCTCCATATGCCCAAATAGGAAGGGTTAACACAAACATTTGCTATCCAAGTATAAGTCCTAACTATTACACTTGTGAAGATGTCAGAAATTTTTTGTTGTTGGCATATAGTCTAGGTCCGTTTTTTCCCTTTTTGACATAAAAGTAATTTGGGTGCATTTGGTCCTTGTTCTATTTCATCTTTCATGTTTTGCACCAACCAATCATCTTGAGATGTTCCTGGATATTGGCAGTGGCCAGTATGGGATTCAGTTTCATAAATATTGCAAGGTGGTGTTCGAATGGATTGGCCGTTCAGCAATGCTCCCATCAAGTATTATAGTGGCCCTGAATTCGAACCCGACATACATACAAATGTTACAATCCTCCCCCCCAAAAAAAAATAATCACCAGCATCCCAAGGGTTACATAACCTTGTAGTTGAAATATCCTTGTTAAAATCAGAAAATCATATTATTTTGTTTTAATAAAACAGTTCTGAATTGTACAACAAACTATTTAAGACATAACAATTATGATTTTTTTTAGGAATTGGCCTTTTAATATTTGGACTGCTGATTTCTGCTTTGCTCGGAATATTTCAAGAGCAGTTGTTTAAACATTATGGGAAACATCCATATGAAGCTTTATTTTATACGGTAAATATTCAATGTGTATTATTAATATCAAATTTGAAGAAGGGTGAGTAAAAAACAGCTTTAGGACTAATTTAATTTAATTAATTTTGTATTTAAAGATGGATCATGTAAAAGTGTACAGACATCTCTTTATGTACGTTTTGGTAATACATTTATATTTCACATTAAATAACAATTGAAATAAAAGCACATGGCATTTGGCCCAGGCCGCATGGCTGAAAGGCAGGAAGAAAGCAACCCCCCCCCCGGTCGGCAAGCTGCCAAGGAGGCTATTGCTGCCACCTTGGTTTTCTTCGCCTCATGTTTTTTTTGTTAACAAAACTTGACTCTCCAGTAGGAGGGCCTGGTGATCTTACATTTTTTCATGGAACTTCTCGGACTCTGTTATCATTCTTCATTAGCCCTTCCACACATGGAGAAAAGCCTCTGCACATGTTTGTAAATAAATATATTGTGGTCTATATTGGTACCAGATATTTTGCTGAGGACCATCACTATTCACACTGACTGGACACTTTCATACTATATGTACAATTAAAATTTTGGCGTGCATATAATAAATACGTTCATACAATATGTGCAGATAAAATTTGGGAAGTCACTGGGGTGTTTGATATTAAGCCAGTGCCTCCCACCTTTCACTCTTATCACAATTGTCCTAAAAAATAACCTAATTTGGTGGTTATGTGGGACACTTTATTTTTTACCGCAAACTTGCCTAAACATTCTCAAACAATCTCACTAATAAATACTTCATTCAATATGATAAAATAATTAACCTAGTTTGGTGGAATACTTTATATTCTGCCAAAACCTACCCATTTGTTCAAACAATCTCGCTAATAAATACTTCATTCAATATGATAAAATAATTAACCTAGTTTGGTGGAATACTTTATATTCTGCCACAAACCTACCCATTTGTTCAAACATTGACACTAATAAATACATTAATACTAGATTGGAAAAACCACATGTAGAAAGTCATCAAATGTGACCATGTGCATTTATCTGTTTATGAATAGTTTTTGCTACAATGTTGTGCCTTAGAATGTTTTGAGATTCATGGCCAGGCCACACCTTGTTCAGGTTCGCGCCTATTGTTCACACTCGACCAATAAATATTTTACAGTTTTTTGGGCATCTTCGTGGCCTTTTGTCAATTAGGAGATGCCCATGCATTAGTCTGGTGTGGCTGATTTATAGTCAGGTCATCACTAGTCTTTGATTTTTGTACATGTTCTCCATGGCCCACGCTTTTATTGATGGTTTTATCTCTTTTAATTTGTCAGTCATTACAGCCCAGCAGTTTTGCTAATATTCCCAACATTTTTAAAATAATGTTTGGCATCTGCTGGGCTCACAAGAGAAAAACCTACTCTTTGGATTTATTTTTGTACATGGACATCTTTGTATGGCCTTATCAGGCTTGATATTTTGCAAATGCATTGTATTTATAATTAATTATTCATCGGGACTTTTAAGTCCTGCAATAAAGTTTATTTTTATTTTTTCTAATAAATGTAAACCTTTTAACCAATTTATTTTCATCTTTGATAAGTCTTAAATTCACAATGGGACCTTTGTTCTCTATCTCTTATTAGATTCACTATATTTTAATAGCCTTGTAAAAAAAAGTTTACTTTTAGAATGATATGTGCTAATATATATTTCTATTTTACAGCATTTACTGTCCATTCCAGTTTTTGGATTTTTTTCCAACAACATTTTGGAACACTTTTGGCTGGCTTTAGATAGTAGGCCAATGGGAATTCCAGTGTTAAACATTCAAATACCCTTCATTATATATTATCTCATAGGAAATATGGTAACACAGTATCCTTTTATTTGCAAAAACATTTTATACAAAGTTCATTCTTCTCCAAAAACAAACACATGCTATAGTATGTAATACTTAAATTTTTATTTTTCATTTTATTATTTTTAATATTTAAATGCAAAAAATTGGCTGTAACTAGATTTCTTACTATTGGCCAAAGTCAAAATATTATGTCTGAACTAATCAGCCTGTGACGTTTATCTTTTTTGTTACATACAATCTTGATATTCAATTGTTCAAATTCAAGTGGAATTATTCTTTCCTTAATATAAATTAAGATCACTTTGTATAGGTTCTGTCTACTTCTTGGCGACAGAAGCATCCACACTGACAGTTACGCTTGTAATAACGCTGAGAAAATTCTTAAGCCTAATATTAAGTATAGTTTATTTTCAGAACCCATTTACATTGACTCATTGGTTAGGGACTTTCTTGGTGTTTATCGGTACAGTAATTTATTCTGATATTCCACAGAAACTTAAAAAACATTAATTTAGTTTAGTCTAGTTACTTCCATGATAAACCTTTCAAAATTTTTGTTTTTTTATTTATTATGAGAATATTTTAATCTAGACAATTTGAAAATCTATGGAAAACAATAGGAAAATTGATGAATATCAGTGGTTCTAATTGTATGTTATATACAACCATCTCCATTTTATTCATTTCTGATGAATGAAATTATCTCTTTTCATTCCCTTTCTTTTTTCATTTTTGCATTTTTTTACTTTTGTTTTGTTAGTTGTTTTATACATTTTAAGTTCCAAACCAAAAATAATAAATAAGTCTAGCAGATTGATCTCAAAATGATTTACAACCTTTAAAGAAGTTGGGGTTTGTACTTTTACAAATAGAAAAATTTTTAAATAAAATTATCCTGCTAGAAATCTTCATTTATCACAATTGGTTTATTTTCAGGGAAGGAAATGCAGGAAAAATATGCACTGTACAAATTCTTTTTCTATTGTGCAAAAATGTGCCTTCTTTATGTGTGATTTCAGTGTATGTGGTATTACAGGGATATGGTAAATAATTTTATTATTCATTGCATTTGTTTAATAGCAGTATCAAATTATCAACTGCCAGACTCAACAGTGTACCTTTATTAGGAACATACTTTCCTCTTTTATTCTTGACCACTTTGTCTTTTTAAGATTGAGTTAATGTGTCCTTATTGTCATACTTGATCATTATCATAAAGATTTTTTTAAAATTATTTTATTTTAAAGAATATCAGTTCATAATTTCTCTTAAACCACCATATTGTTTGCCATAGTGTTGCGATTTCATTGTTACTTGTACTGATTTTTATTTTTATTTTTATGTCATTACATTTGCATGTAGTATTGCTATTAAATTCTGTGTATTAGACAAAAAGAAAACCTGTCCATCATATTGGTAAAGGACAAAGTACACAAGTGGCTAAATGTTCAAAAACTGAAGGAAAAGCTCAATTTTTTGAAACTTACCTATGACTGTTAGTATAATTTTTGAAATGTTACTTTATTTACTTACATTGTATATTTTTTAAAGGTGAAAAAGTTTTCTTACACTTTGGGGTATTGATACACTAATTGCACTATTTAATCAAATTAAACTCGAAATAGGGAAGTAGAAAGAAAATAAAATAAAAAGGAACAACTAGCGATATTTATCCTGTTTTATGTGATCATATTTACACAGACAAGTTATTTTTCATTTTGTCCATTGGTGTATACTGACAAAGGTATGTGGGATCATGGATTTCAATGAAACCTTTTTTTATTATTTTAGTTATACTAGGTCAAAAAACGTTAGACACGTGTTTGACTGTTCTTGCTAGTGGAACCTAGGAGATGAGAAAATATTTTTAAAATTTGATTTTCTGCATTTGTTCGTATGTATTTATTATTATTATTTTTTATATTTTTTTAATGGAAGCTACCAACAATGGAGTCATATCAGCCTCCAACACACTGTGAGGGCCGATGAGGTATTCTCTATTCCGCCACAACCCACTCACACATACTCAACACTCAAGCTGATAAATACGACACATTCAAGACACAAAACAGAAAAATTGTAACCTAGTGTGGTGGGTCTGTGGGTACTCTACATTCCAAATACCCACTCACACATACTCAACACTCATGCTAATAAATATATTCATATCATATAGGAAAACCACATGTGGGAAAGCATCACATGCAATCATATTAATTTATTCGCTGCAGGTATTTGATCAACTTTTTGCAGCCGTCACTGCTGTGTTTTGATGGGTGTTGGTTTGCGAGTTATTGAACTCATGCTGAACCGGCATAGGGTAACTTATTGGGTCCATCATCAACTTGGGGGGTTTGTTGAATTACTCTAACGTATTTTGGCATTGTGCCATCTTCAGAAACTGTCCATGGGATACCCACTCAAAGTTTTACTAAGATCTAAAAAGCTTGAAATAGAATATTTGCCATCTTCAAAACAATCAAGAGAATATTTTATGAACTCCATAATTGATTTCTCTGTGTTTTACTAGCCATATTGGGCTTCACTAAAGAAAGAATTATTTTCAAAAACTTTTGAGTGAATAGGCAACAAAGAAATGGGCCAATAATTGCTCATCACATTGAATCACATTTTTTAAACAGGGGGATCACCAAAGAACTTTGAGGCAGTCAGGAAAAGTATCTTTGTACAAGCTTTCATTAATTAACAAGAAGTGTTACTATCACAGCTAATTCAGGGGACAGGTATAATAGGTATATATAGGAATATTGTTTATAATATAGTATATATAACTCCTCCTTAAGAATAATGCTTCCCGTGGGGGGTCGTCTTTTACTACCTTTATTGTTTGTTTACTTTTTGTATAACTTCAGTTTTTATGTTTTTAATTATAAATATTATTATTAATAATATTAAAATATAAAGAAATAATGTCCATAGGCTTAGATTAACATGTACATATGGTGTGATATTATTTTTTTTCATGAAGTTTGGAGAAATATGAAGAGTAAAATGACGAAGCTTGATGCTGAAGTTGGAGATTTGTTTCGGTACAAATGTGAAGTTGAAATTGATGTTTGGTTTCCCATGGCTCGTTGTCCGATAGATGAGTGGGTGTCTTTTGTAGATTTCTCTATTGCCTGGTTTGAGCAGAAGTATACCTTCCAGGATTTTTGTTTCAATTGTGTTGTCTTGTGTGATCTTGATTTTTCCTGGCGTGGTGATGAAGGTGCATAAAAATTAGTTGATTTTCGGAACGAATATCACGTGGTTGTTTTTCATCTGAAGTTCAGTGTAGACATAATGTGTATTGTTTCCGTGTAAGATGATTTCTTTTTCGCAATGATGTTGTTGATTCGATATTAAAATTTGTGGACAATGGCAAACTTTGTTGTTAATAAATTCTTCTGTTAAATATTTTATCTCATTTCTTTTGGATTTAAGAACATATTTATTTTCTGGAATAGTTGTTACTAATTTCTTGCCAACTTTTGTTGGAATAGGTTGTAATTTGTATAATTCAAATTTATCTTCACTTCATAATGGTAATTGCAAGAAGTAAATTATTTGATTTGTTTCTATTTGACTTTTAACATATTTTCATATTTCACTTCTAAGGGCAACTTAGTATATTATCAGTTCTCCTTTTTCTTTCATTCCTCAATCTTTTTTTTCATTCATTTTTTAAATTTTTAATATTACAGTTTTTATTTTCTTAAAATTATAATTTTAATTGAAGTTATTATTAGTGTTTATCAATATATTATTGTAATTTATTGTGATATTTTGTTATAAAATTAATATTGATTCACAGTATGATTACAAGGTGTACCATGTCCAATTCTAGATCTTCTTTCTTCCTTAGACTGAAGTACAAGTAGGTTGATGAAGTTTGGGACTGCAAATTAATGGTTGGTACAGTTGTGGTTACAATATTCTCTTGAACACCTTTGCCATCCTACCGACTGCGCCAATTATGGATAATTATTCGAGATTTTCTTTTTTAAAAAGTTTATTTTAAAAAGTAGTAGCTCCACCGATATACATTCGAGGAAGTACACAGGATCGGTTCATTATTAAGTCACCTCGGGTTAAGGGGGAGAAAAATGTAATTGTGCTTAATTGATATCTGATAAGCCGAGTGCATTTTTCTGTGCAAATAATGCTATAACTAATATTGTTTAACCTAATATAAAAAAGTTTCATTGAAAAACATGATCCCATGTACAAGGGCTTCCCTTGTGAGTGAAATCCTACAAACTTTGTATTATATATATATATATATATATATATTATATCAAAAATTGAGTATTTCAAATGCTAATGATTGATTTGTTACATCTTGTATCTACCATGATAAAATTAAAAAATGTAATTGACTATGGTCTCAGTGATTTGTATGAATTAATACAATAATTATTAATAAGTACGTCCATGTTTGTCGATTCTAGCATGAATGCAAAATATGGATAATTTGTACAGAGTTCTGTGCCTCAGAGTCCATAAATAAAATTAATAGGTCAAAGACTAGGCAAATTAATTTAAACAATGAGATTAATGTAAATGATCTCTGTTTGTCCAGATAAGGAAATAATTCAACAAAGAAACGTTTAATGAAGATTGTGGGTAATAGAATAAATTGAAATTATTTTTATGATTGTGTAGTATTATTAATTTAAAGGTGTATACACAGAAATTTGTTAAAAATAAAACATTTTTTAAAATAGTCATCTTTTTTTTGTGTGTGAATTCCAATTTTGTCCGGCAATCAGGCACATTTTGGCATTTCTCGATTTTCATTGTGGATTTGTTATCAATGCAGTTCATGCATTTTGGTCGCCTCAAATAATTCTGGTTTACTTGTATTTACTGGTACAAATGACCCAAACCCACAATGAATTATGTAGGAAATATACTTTTTTTTGTTATAAATAAATAAAAATTAATGTTTTTTGTTTTAGTAATTTGAAACCTAAGAGGCCTCTTCCTTGTTTCTCCGCATCTCCTTATTAGCACATTAATATTGCCATGATGGCCCTGTAAATTCTTTAATGATCTTTTCATCATCTTCTTCACCTCCTTCATGCTGGACTTGTAATGAACAGTTTCTAGTCCATTGCCCCTTTTGTCCATCTTCCATTAGCAAAGCATTACATACCCTGCCCATCACCATTTTGATGATTTCACAGTCTTTTTCACGTTATTTGCTTTGGCTTTTCTTCTAAGTCTTCTTTTTTCTGTCAAAATTCTATGTTATATGGTGTTTTGAGCTGACTTGTTAACATCCAGGTCTGTGTTCCATAAATCAATGTTGATGTGACATGTCTTAAGGTGGTCATTCACGATCGCTCCCAGCAGTCCAAACGGAGCGACGCCATATCAAAAACCATGTGAATGGCAAAACTGAACTGGTGTGCTGGGCTACACCAAATATTCGACCGGTCCAAACTCCATCGCGCCACTCCAAACATCTACGGCATAATGATGGCATGGCGCGTTCGTGAATGGGAAAACCCCCGTTTTGTTTGACGCAGTCTCCATCTTTCTGTCACTGAACAAACATCTCTGTCGTACATTATCAAAAAGTCAAAAATGTTTATTCTTTATTGTCAATGACATCCAATCGAGATTTTATTGTTGAGGTGATTGAATTGTATAAAAGTTTACCATGTTTATGGATAGTGGTGGACAATGATTATCACGATAGAAATAAAACAAATTCGGCCCTTGACCAGTTGGTCGACCTTTTCAAAACAAAGGATTCAAATGGGTGATGCGGGATCCCTAAGCGCTGAGCAGAAATCGTAGTAGAGAACTTAAGTTCTTCGTAGTTCATCCCTGTAGTGAGAAATAGTAATGTGGCTGCTGCCAACCTTTCATGTGGAGTGATGATGTCTCTCATGATTGTCTTTTGTTTTCTAATCAAGGGAGTAACAAGCTGAAGTGAATATAAATAAGGCGTTTCATCCATCCTTAAATAGTTCCTCCAATCAGCGGGTTCAAGGGAAAGATCTTTCATTAAATCGATGTGGGTATTAGGGGTTCTGTTCAGGAGCCAATTCTTACACCATTTCCTCTTCGGTTTATTGCTTTTTATATATAAACAAATAGCAGCTTAGCACAAGAGATGGTCATTCATTTTGAGGAAGTAATTCACTAGATGATGATCAGAGCGACTGGCTGTGGAGCGGTCGTGAATGCCCCCTCAAATTTCAGGCTCTCCAAATGGAACTATACGGCTCGGCGCAGTTCCATTTGGAGCAATTGTGAATGGCCACCTTAATATTTTTCACGTTTTTTCTGGAGGTACACTTTCATTATATATTTTTCACTCCAGTACTTGCATATATTGATCTTCAGTGTTTCCATTTCTATTTTTTCTGAGAAGCTTGTCATTTATCATAACTTTATTGTGCATTTTTTTTGCAAACCCACTTTATGACTCCTTGTGCAACGTTTGAAATATTTCTCTTAACTTAGCTGGAGTTTCTGCAAAAAGGACCAGGTCATCAACAAATCTTTAGCAGATTTTACGTCCATTCATATGTTTCCGTGTTCCTGGCTGATAGCACTAAGAGGCACAAGATCAATATTGAATTTCATTTAAAAAAGGGTCAGTTTAATTTGCAAAAGAGTGAAATTTATTTGCAAAAGGGTTAAATTGATTTGCCAAAGGGTGAATCTCATTTGCAAAAGAATGGAATAGATTAGCAAAAGAATTAATTTGATTTGCCAAAGGGTGAATTACATTTGCAAAAAGAGTAAAATTGATTAGCCAAAGAATGAATTTGATTTGCAAAAGAATTGAAATTGATTAGTCAAAGAATGAATTTGATTTGCAAAAGGTGAATTTGATTTTTAAAAAGGTCAATTTAATTTAAAAAAGAGTGAATTTCACTTGAAAACCCTGTATCAACATTATTGTTAATTCTTAATTCCTGAGACAACTTCTCTAAAAAAAAAATCTTCAAGATATTGAATAAATGACGGGATTCAATTTGATTTGATCCTTTATTGTCTTATTCTTTTAGCAAAAAACTAGTTATTTTAGATTAAAATTGTTGCTTGACTTTGACCCCACAACATTTATGCCAAACAATAATTACTGCTTAATTTGTGAAAATATACTTCTTGTTAATAAATTATTAAGTGTATGATATATATAATATAAATATAATGTAATTTATTTTTATTAATTATTAATAAATATATAATCGAAAAGCCGCTTTAGCAGGGCGTATTCTAAATTAGATTTATTAGTGTTGTTTTTATAAATTGAAAGAAGGGAACAAAGCCCCGATGAAAAACGATGATGTGGTGGGGGAGGGGAAAAGTACTATAGTAACAGTACTCAGTAGTCAGTAGTCAGTATTAGTAATACAGATGGACCGTCATTCTTGAGAGACCGTTTTTTGGACTCGTTCATTTTAACCTGTTCCATCTCGGATAACGCTATGTTGTCAACACTTAGAGAATAATAAAAGAAAAATATCAATAAACGTATTTAAATAATACTCAATGCGCTGACACGGTATTTAATACGGGGTCTCCACGTTAATAGGAAAGCGGCCGGCAAAAGGTGACATTTTTACTGTTTCTAATAATTATAACAATATTTTGATGAAGGATGAGGTAGTCGGAGGGATTAAGTAGATTTTTCCTTATTCTTATTACCGTCATCCGACATATTTATTACAACAGGCTAATCGTATTGTTATTTTTCAAGGTTTTTCTTATTAATACATACTGTCACTATCTGACCTGTTTGCAATGGGGTCGACGAACGGTTATGTTCCCAGCAAGGAGATGCAGTTGAGGTATCTTGTCGAATGGTTCAAAGAGTTCAGCGATATGCAGAAGAGTGACTTCCTTCCAGTCCTTGTCCAGAGGTTTGGGAACAAGAGCTATGTCAACGGACTCCTCCCGGCGATGGAAGCGATTGGGAACCTCGAGGACAGGCCGCCCAACCTGTTCCAGTGCCGGGTCAAACTCTTCACCGAATGGACAGAAACATGGGGCAACGAGGAGAAGCAGACCCTCCTCAACCACATCAAGTCGATCGACCCAAACTTCTCGGCCAAGTACGATAAAGAAGTCAGCTCTGAAACTGCCCCCTATCTCCAGCAGGAATACGTCGATTGAAAAATACACAAACCGCCTACTTTTCAGGTAAATTTTGGGATATTTGTACATATAAATTGTGAACGCAATCAGAATACGCAAAGTATGCGTTAACATGTTTACTTTGGTTCCTGATGTGAGCATCGACATTGTGTCAACTCGACTGATATTTCACATCATTAAAGCAATTCAGCACAGGGTATCGATCTGACTGGATTCAGAGACGACCTGTTAAAAGAGATGTATAATAAAACGACCTGTTAAAAGAGATGTATAAACAGTCATCAAATTATTGTCTGTTGTGTTTAAATAGCTTGAACTTGAATGGCTTTAGCAAGTCACAAAAAATGTCTATTTCTGGTGGCAACCTGTTTCCAAGCTGCAATTATTGTATTCTAGGAAAGGTGTAGACAAAGGTATAATATGTCTATCTCTCCTTTCATTTATATAAAGGAGCCAAGCAAGGCATTTCATATACTGCGGTTTTCTGAATAGATTTCAGTATTGAAAGTGAATTTTTTCACTTTTCCCTTTAGCAAGTAAAAGGAAAGCAATTCCTGTCATTCAGCCTTTAACCCTTAGAGATTCGCACAAGACAAACTACTCTAAAATACCTTTTTACATTTTATTGTCAATTAAAATTCCATATGCTGGCCAGGATTCAAAACTACTAGCATGACAAATAGTCTGGTGCCCTAACCACCCAGCAGCCGCAGTTTTACATTAAATAAGTAATGTCCCTTTCAGAGTTAGATGATCTCTTTAGCATATTTTGTTGAAAAAATAAATAAATAAAAAATATAGAAATCTCACACAGGTTTTTCAAATTAAATTAACTCCTTTGCTAACAATTTCACCCTTTTGAAAATGAAATTTACCCATTTGCAAATCAACTTAGTATTTTGCAAATTTAATTCAGTTTTTACCAAATCAAATCCACCAATTTGCAAATTAAATTTACCTCTTTTGCAATTCAATTTGTTAAATTTACCCTTTTACAAATCAATTTCACCCTTTTGAACATAGAATTCTTTCTTTTGCAAAAACAATTCATCCTTTTGCAAATCAAATTCCCTTTTTCCAAATTAAATTCACTCTTTTTACTAATCAATTTCACCCTTTTGAAAATCAAATTCATTCTTTTGCAATAAAATTCACCCTTTAGAACATCAAATTTACCCTTTTGCAAATAAATTTCAGCATTTTGAATATTAAATTCACCTCTTTGTAATATCCATAATTCCATTTATCTTTGAATATTTTAACTTAACTTTTAAAACTTTTCCCCTTGTTCTGTCTTCCCAAGATAAGGGCTTTATCGACCCTCTTCACTTTCACAATGCTACACCCCCTCCCAGACCTCATACCACGGTATATAGTAGGAAAACTTGTAAGCTGCTAACAATCCCTAAAGAAGCAACGAGTCTGTTTCCCGTAAGCTCTCCACTCCTGTACTTATTAACTTTTTAATATAGAAGTTAATTTTCCTCTGTCCATCTAATTCTACTTCTACCTAAGTTTCCACCCCACAGTCCTGAGGGCGGTTATTACACCTTTTGCTAATCAATTTTACCCTTCTGCAAATCACATTCTTTTGCAATAAAATTCACCCTTTAGCAAATCAGCTTCAGCATTTTGCAAATTGAATTAAATGTTTAGCTAATCATATCCCTCTTTTGGTAACTTATTTCACCCTTATGCAAGTCAATTTCATTTTTTTACAATAAATTTCACTTTTTACCAAATCAAATCCCCCTTTTGCTAATTAATTTCACCATTTAGCAAATTAAATTAACTTTTTAGCAAATCAAATCCTCCATGTTACAAATTAAACTCACCCATTATACAAATTAAATTCATTCTTTTGCGAATTAAATTCACCCCCTTTTGCTAATCAATTGCACCCTTTTGCAAATTAAATTCACCCTTATGAAAATCAAATTCATGTTTTGCTAATGAAATCCACAATTTTGCATATTAAATTTACTTTTTTCGTGTCAATTTCAATCTTTTGCAAATTAAGGAAAGGAAACCGAATTTGTATGATTTTATGTGAATTTAGGAGTTCCTCACTGCGTAGGCTCAAACCTGAAATGCATTTGAGTATCATCACAAAACCAAAATATAGATGGACTTAATAACTAACTCAGTACCCATTCAACAACCATAACTATAATAAAGTTTATTTGAAATTAAAATCACAGTTTATTAATATATAATATCATCAGGAGCTTATTCAGGCATGCTGCTTGTGCTATTAAGGTCGAGGATGGAATTGCAAATTTTTTCCCTATTACTTGTGGGTTAGATATGGATGTATTTTTCTGAACGTGAAGGCGATGTTCGAGTTGGCAGCAATAAAGTTAAAGCTTTGCTATATTCTGATGATGTGTTGTTCTTAGCAGATAAAATACTAGGTTTACAGAGGAACATAAAAACATTAGAAGGCTATTGTGAGAAGTGGAGTTTGACTATTAATCTTGCCAAATCTAAGGTGCTCATTTTTAGAAAAGGTGGCTGACTTGCCCACACTGTCTTTTTTCTGTGAGGTAATCACCTGTTGAAATTGTAAACCACTGTAAATACCTTAGAGTTACTCACACCTAGTCTCGCCAGAGGAGGATCTGCAAGACCATACAAAGGCCTTGAACCTATACTTAGGATAACAAAAACAAATATAGAATCCTCCATCACAGATTGGATCCAAACAAAACAGGAGAAATGCATAAACTCTAGCAGTGCTAGACATAGTAAACTTATGATCAAATAACCCTCACCAAGACTGGCAAAAACATTGCTGCAATTGGAGAGGGCCAAACTCAGAGGAGTAGTAGGACTACTAACCGGTCACTGGCATCTGAGAAAACATCTGCACTACATGGGTATACAACGATGATCCCATTTGCAGATTATGTAATGAAGAAGAGGAAACAGCCACTCATATCATCTTCGAATGCGAAGCAACAGCTCAATGGAGATTTAACGTACGGAAAAAACTTAGGGAATCAAATTGCAGCAGCGATAGTCAATGACCTGATACTTCTAAGGAGAAGGATTGAGTCTATTGCACTAAATTAAGGAACTAGGAAGGTACAATAAGCCAGAAGGCTGCATTGCCTGGGGAGCACAAACGCCGCTTCCTAGTATCCTTTTTATCATACCATACTCTTACACCTCGTCCCTCCTTCCGTTATCGTTTGAAGCAGGTATTATCTACAGCCAAGATATAATTTGGGCTAGCCTAATATTAAATAATAACATTTCACTGAAAGCTAAACTCAGCACATTTAATGCTGTTTTTAGGTCTTTGTTGTTTTATGCTTGCCAAATTTGGGGGTATCAACAGTACCACATAGTCCAAAAATTTCTGACGTTTTTTATCAAAAAGCTTTTTGACCTACCCTCTTCAACCCCTAACTATATGTTGTATTTAGAAATATCCATGGACCTACTGATCTTATCTACATTGAAGCTTCACTTTAAGTATATCCTGAAAATCCTCCCTGACTTTTGACTTTCTAAAATCACTACTCTAGAGGTAATAAAGCAGCACTTTATGGTTCTCCCACTGGCATGCACTATTTTCAAATATTTCATCTTTCAGAATTTAAACGTTAATAATATACCTAAATGGAATACTCGTTTTAACTGTCTCCATACACCGATGAGTACTCATCATGGAGAGGAGTTTGCTCTGGCATCCACTAGCTTTTGGTTATGCAGGGATCTTGATCATTCTCACTGTCACTTCCAGTGAGTCTAATCACTATGCAAATCTGAGTGTCCTAGAATGGGGTTTTAAAATGAGATGTGAACTGCTTTGGCTAAATTACATCCCCTGGGTGGAGGGGCCCTCTGCATTGTGCAGTTTATGTAATTCTAAGTTCAGAGAAGATGAATTGCATATACAATCTTAAATAAAATCCATATACTCTACCTATGCTGTGGTTCCCTTTTCCAGGACCAATTAATTAACAAGTTAAAACTATGTGCCAACTTCACTTGTAAGATTTTGTAGATCCGCATGGCAATGCAGATATTTTTATGTCAATGAAATGAATATTCAGTGTTTATATAATTTAGTTTCAATTGTTTTCTTTTTATTGTTCTTATTTTATTTATTCACATTTTTAGTTTGTTTTTTCTTTTTTTAATTCTTTATTTCTTTAAGTTCTTTGGAAGTGTTTTATCAATATTTAAATTTTGATTTCAGATCCTCTCTCCAGCCTTCCTGTTTCAATCATGCCAGAATGGATATGCTTTAAATTCCATTGTACTTACTTTTTTTATCCTACTGGTCAAGGAGGGAATTGTCTTAACGTGCTAAAGAGGATTTTATCAACTAAGCTCAGGAAAACAAATCAATCAAAGTATTTTATTAAATCTGTTATTTGACATTGAGTCCTTTAAATATAATATCAGTTATAGTTGCGTTATTACAGTCTCTGGGTTATAAATGTTTTAAAAATGAAATCTGTGATCGATATTCATGATATATTTTCTAAATCTAGTTTAGTTATTGCACATAAACTTTTAGTTTGCTTGCAAGCAAGAAATCATGTCTGCTTATTGCAGCTAATTGTTTATTTTATACTTCATATTATTTTTTCCTGTTTTTCATGATTTGGCAAATATAACCCGACTGTGTAGCTTGGAAAAACAAGGCTTTTCACTAAGAGTTAGCTTATGAAAACTCAACAATTCATTTTTTTTTAAATTAAGTACATTCACAAGTTCCTAATACCATACATTCCAACAATTTACTTTTAACTATGCAAAGTTTACGAGTAATTAAACAGAGATTAGGTTTGTTTTAATAATATACAATGAGATTTTTTTAACAGAAGAATTGATATGTTATGTTATTTAATAGTTTAAGTAACTGAATTTGTTGATATATTTATTTTTATTACACGCAGCATCGTCCATATTATTTGGTTTTGGGACTAAATAAGAATTTATTTTTGATTTCATTTGTACTGATAATATATTTATATAGATAGCAATATGTACCTATATATTTATAAAATAAATGATAATTTAAGTATTTTTAAATATATAAACATAAGTATCTTTAAATATTTAGCTCTCTCACAGTTTTACTGATGATAAAATAATAATTTGTACTCATATACGATTAGGAAAATACATCATATATAATTGAATTTCATTATCGATCATCATCAAAAATGACACAATAAAGATTTCAGATTAAATTTCTCCAAATTACAATTTGACATAATCAAAGTTTCAAGTGATAGTGGCAGTTTCTATAAATTATAGGATATATTCTTGTGGAACAGAAGCCAAAGTATGAAATAAAAAACTGAAAAGTGTTTTTTCTTTCATTTAAAGATTACTTAATTATACTCTTAATATGGAAATATTAATTCTGAATTATTTTTGACTCTTAATATAGAAATTTTAATCCTGAATTATTTTTGCAAGTTTTTGCATAAAAATATATATGGTCGATATTTTTCTAAATATATTATAAATTAATGTAATAAATAGTTGTATTTTGAAAGGACTGAAATAAGTATTGATAAAAATTGTGTAATTTAAAATACATAATCAGCTTATTTTTAGACTAAGCCAAGTTAATAACTTATATTAAGTATTATAGATCAATTTAAACTTACTATTTGTCAATTTGTATTTTTTTTCTCAAACATATGAATGTGTTTTTGCAGTTTGCTATCCTATTTTAAAATGAAAGATTCATTTCCCTAGAGAACTGTTCCCATGTTATTCATTGTAGTTGAATAAAATACAACTAACACTTTACTAATTTCTAAATTTGTCATATAGCATTTAAAGCGATGAATGTATTCCAGTCTGAGAATGATTTTTTTATATCAGTCAAAATTGTTTAAACTAAGTACAATTTTGATTGACAGCAAGAGACAAAGGTGGCACTTTATATTTTATTTGCGTTGAAAATGAAACTAAAATAGTTTAATCTTGTTGACTTATAAGAGTATTGATATTATTTTTGTGATGTTGAAATCTGAAGTCTGTCTTGAAATTGAATTTTATTTTGAACATACATCGTATGAATTTTATAATATAACTTTATAAATAAGAAAACTGTTTTATTTCTCCTTATTGTTACATTACCATTCATTGTAACAGATAACTGATATATTCATGTATGTGCAGAGTTGAGTCTATCACTTCTCGAACTCTACCAGCATTCCAGCTTTTGTAATTTACAATAAATTGCTGGCAGGCCTCAAAAATCACCTATCCTGAATGTAGGCAGTCCGGGGTCAGATCTCGTTCTTATTCATCCAGTCACTGAGGTTGGTGCTAGGTCAATTCAGTTCCCAAAACAATCAGTTCCTTAAACCATTATCGCTTTCACTCATTCTTAAATACATCTCTCATATTTACATACATTCCCTCAGTTAGGGGTCATGGAGTACTTGATATTCCTCCATCACCCATTACACCTATATGTAACGACTATTTCAACCCGCATATCAAATTTTAACCAAAATTCAGTATATATTTCAATTGTGATATTTTACTATTTGGAGAAAAAGCCAATAATAGCCACTGACCACATCATTGGAGATAGACCAAAATGAATTTAGATTGACCTAGTTTCTAGAATCATCTCTTGTGTTAGGAATAAGATCTGGATGTAAAGAATGGTGTAAAGTTAACAATAAAAAACTGAGGGAAATTAAAGAGGGTGGTTAAACGATGTCTAATAAACATATCCCGTAACAGTCTTGGCACGTAAAAATAGGACATTTTAGGCTTACTCATGGGTTCCTCATCACAAGTGAACATCCTCTGAAATGATAAACCTCTCAGTAACTATTAACAGTCAAACACATTTTGAATGTTTTCATATTAAGGTTATTAGTTAAATAGTAGTGAAGTTTCAATTTGTAGGTTAGTCCTGCATACCAAATTTGAACCAAAATTCAGTATATAAACTACTCAAAAACAAATAGGGATATTTATAATTTATTCTTATTCTATTAATTTTAATTAAATTAACCGATATATTCTTGTTAGCTTGATAAAGCAAAATAGAAAATACAAACGAAAAACAAACAAGTTAAACCTCATTGTTAATAATAGATTTACTTAAGAATAGTAAACAAGAAGATTACTCATTTTGTGAACAAACACCTTTTCTTGTCTTTTCTCCATTTTAATCTATTTCTATTCTCTTTAATCATGGAAAGACATCATGTTGAACCAGAAGTTCACAATGTTATTGTGAGAATGAGTCATCGAGGTCACCGGCAATTGGATATCGCAGAGGCAGTTGGCGTTTCTCAGAGCGTCGTCTCCCGGGCTTTAGCCCGATTCCGAGAGACTGGAAGTGCCAATAGGAGGCCTGTTAGTAGATCTCAGTGCATTATGAAGTTAAGGGTGGACAGAAATATTATCATTGCTTCCAGTTTCTTCTGCTGCCACTATACAGACAGAAACGCGACTCATCAGTAAACATATCAGTAACTGTGAGATTTTACTATTTGGAAAAAAGCCAATAACAACCACTGAATATGGCAAGAAGCCAAAAAGTGTCTTACAGACCAAATTATTGAAGATAGGTGGACCAAAATTGTTGGAAATAGTCATACTAATAGCCATCACTCCGCAGACCCCTATGAAGAAATCAAACAAAAATTAATTATGATTTAAAAAAACACATACTCATTTAAACAACTGTAAATTTATTTACAATATCAATTAGGTAACCACTATAGTTTAATAGAAATCACTGGCCAATAAACAGAAATAAAGACACCCAGGATTTTAGCTGTTAACAGTCTTATGTTACAAAAGTCTGGCTCTTAATACAAAGCTAAACAATTTTAAAAGTGTATATAAATATATATTTTAACGTTATTTAATTTTAATAATTTTATGATGCTATAAATATTTTTAATTACAATGCAGACTATTAAAGTATAATTTTTTTCTTCAAATAGAAACAAAGGCATTATAATCTACATTTTTTACAATAAGGACTTTGATAAAATATTTTATAGCATTTAATAACATAATAACATAATCTAACAAGTGTAAACACAATTACACAATTATTAGGGTCAAAGTTAATACTGCCGCTTCCATATCAGTAACATATATATAAAATATGTTACTATTTTAATATATACATGTGCTTCTTTTTTTTAACAGCTATCCCTAATTTTATAGATCTCAGTTAGTGTTACGTTTTATCTCTAGTTTCATAGGAAAAAATGTGTTTGTAAAATGTAGACTTAAAACAAATGTAACATTAAATTTTAGTTAATAATAACTCAAGTTTTTTCTTCTATTTTCAACAGATATTTACTAGATGTAAACTACAGGAGTAGAAAGAAGCCTAAGTTAAAATAATACCACTCCTGATATAAGATTTAAGTTCAGGAACTGAAAATTTGTATTTAAAGACTAAATTTTGTAGAAGGATAAATAAATAAACAAAATTGTTACAATTGTCTTTAGATGATAAAGCAGTTTAGCATTATTATGTTATAAAATTTCATTTAATAATTTGACAGTCTCAACATGTTTAAAAAAAAGCTTTGATTGTTAAATTAGAACTTTAAACTTTTAAACTTTGTATAAAGTGATTTAGCTGGCTGTGTCAAAACTCAATTGCATAAAAGTGTGTAGATTTTTCTTATCACGAGTCCTGGCAGAAAATTCAAACAAATATCATAAGCATTTTTAGTACTAATGAAATCTGATTGCAATTTGTTAAAATTAGCTGAGTAAAAAAATAATTTTCAATATTTCAGGGGGGGGGGGACAAACATTTCCCGGGCATGATGATAGTGGGTCATGACTTCATGATTTTCATTTATATATCTTAAGCCTATGTGTTAAGCGTATAAATTATTTCCATAAATTTTATATCTTGTAACAGTATTTTCATGATTACTTTTAAGTAATTATTTTTGTATACACTAAGTCAAAACAGATCTTTTTGTTGTTCTTTAACATCTGTAGGATTCTGGGGAAGATTAACAATACTAGAGGCAAATGGTATGATTTCAGGTGGATCTTAGGAAGAACTTCAGTCCAGCCCTTCTATCCTTTCCTACCTGGTTAAACAGGATGCTGAAATTTGACAAAATCCCTAATGGGGTCAAAAGAATGTTGTGAGACTGAAGTTTGAAAAACTGTACCCGGAAGGAAGCCCTAAAATATTGGCCTACGTCGACAAATTTTAAATAAAGTGGGATGAATACATAAATGATCCAACAAAGCCAGCCTGATCCCAGGAAAAGTGTATTTAATTTGTATTATTTTGAAACACTAATTTTAAATTCAATCAGAAACTAATTTTAAATTTTTCTCTTGAAGTTGGTATACTGTGCGGGCGGACTGTCATTCTTCCCCAGTGCCCTTCATACAAAAATGTATCTTTTTCTCCCAAAGCTTCTTTTGTATATATATCTATGTGTGTGTTTGTTATGTGTGATGAGCTTTCTAAAATCAGCAAATCACTTTTCCCTGAGTTCTTTTTAATACTTTTTTTGCATAATTTTTCTAGAGAATTCACTACTTTATTAGTCGATTATTACAATTATGAATAAAGTTGTAACCTCAACTTTACTTTTTATAAAATAATTTCTAAAAATTTATTGAAACAGTCAAAGTTTAACTATAAATTATATTGAATGCAATATCATAAGCAGAGATCTCATAATGATTAACTATTTGAGCATTGCTGGCCCTGTTTCATTAGACTGGGCCTGTTACATTAAAATTTGGTTTACTATGCTTCTTCTAACTCCTATGAATTTCAATTAAAAATACTTAATACAATATGTTAAATGTTGAATCTTAATATGTTCAATGCGGCTGACGTTCAGGGGAGTGTTCCAACCGGATTAAAAAAAAAAAAAAATGCCATCCTTGTAGACTGAAAATTTAAATTCCAGCTAGTGTTGAATGTGTTAAAGATCTGTAAAACTGTACATAAACTTATAGTAAATAAAGAAACTGGTAGTAGGACTGTAACATTTACATTTGTTTTTAAATTTTATAAACTTTGATCTAATAACAAATATTATGTGTGTGCAACAGATCTGCTGACGATTGGTAATTTTCATTGCAGCTTGTAAATCCCTGGTGTCTCGTTTTTCCTTATCCTTATAAAACCCACCTGTTTTCATACTTGTATACTCTCCATACAACACACAAACACACACAGACAATTTTCCGAATTTTATGGGACAATGAATCTCTTAATTTTTAAATTTAAAACTTAGCTGCTGTTTACCAGATATATATGTTCGTTTTGTATACAGTTTTCATGAAGCAATAAGCCAATTTCTGGAAGACAACATTTATGACAAAAAACTCTAAAATTCAAAAGTCACCTTATAATACTACAGATTTATCACAGTATTATTTGTTTAAAAATTAAAACAAGACAACAGCATAGAAATAAAATAATAGTTACAAATTCTCTAATGAAATTAAGTATAAACAATTATACATGTGATCTTAACTTGTTAATCGATACAGTAATGCACTAAATTTGGCTATAATATAAAACATATATACAGCATTCACAAATGTATTGAATATTAAAAATTTCCATATTTCATGAAGCATAAATTTGATATTTATTCTATTCTTTGGTTTGGTCAAAGTAGTACTTTTCACACTTGCTGGAATTGTTACAAACATTGCTTTATGGCATTAATGCATCTTACAAACCCATTTTATAGACTGATTAAACGTACAGTCATGATAAAAAACATTGATTATAGTAATTGGCATTTTAGATATTACGCTTATAATAAAGGTTGATATTACTAGCAAACTGTTATTAAAAAAAAAAAAAAAATAAATAAATAAATAAATTTTAAAAAAACAATATCACTTGATTCCAATCTCTTTCAGTTATATGACAAATTTATCGGCTTACTCGAAAAATATACAAACAGTTATAGACATCTTCAATTTATCTTTCTTACAAAACAAGGATATTAAACATGTTATTGATTATTTTAAGTTAAAGGCTGCGGTTAACTCAAATGTGGCTCTATAACCGGAGCCGGTTTGTACAGAATGCTGACTGGCCTATTGTTGAAGCTCGCCTTTTTCTTACTGTTTATCTCTCTTTTACGCATGTCATGTGGAGACTGTAGAACCTCAGTGTACTCCTTGATTAGTGTCGCTATTTGAAATGCCTAAAAAAAAAGAAAGTCGTCTGAATGAAACATAAATTAATCAATCAGGTCTAAGAAAAGTAGAAAATATCAACTAATTTCTCTAAATTATTTATATGAGTTAAAAATAACCAAGAATTATACATTTGAATTAGTATAGTTAAGGTTAAAACGAGTCAGCCTATTTACGACCTTGTGCAATGTGACCAATTCTGGTCAATTGTGCAATCCCCATTATTGTCTAGAGCTATTCGTTAAGCTTAAGCCTGCTGACTCAATAAACACTTTAAAATATTGCAAGTTAAATAAAGCCTGTGTAGGTTAACAGGAAGCTGTCAAACAAGGAAAAGGTTTCCTAATAACTGAGGAGCCACTATCAAGGCTATGGAGGCTAATAAATAATCCTCAAGCTGGATGGTGACACATTTTGATGGATGCAGTGTGACAGGCTTTGCAGCCATTTCATACAGAACATAACCTAACCTTAAGGATAAAAGGAGTCTAGCCGGACCTAAACATAAGGTTAAAATGAGTCTAACCTAACCTAAGCAAAGGGCTAAAAGAAGTGCAGCCAAACCTATGCTTTATGTGAAAAGGATTCTAACCTAACCTAAGCTTAAAAGGAGTCTAACTGGAACTAAAGAGGAATCTAACTTAATCTAAGCTTAATATTAAAAAGAGTTTAACCTAAGCTTGAGATTAAAAGGAGTCTAACTGGTCCTAAGCTTAAAAGGATTCTAACTGAAAACTAAGCTTAAGATTAAAATGAGATTGACCAAACCTAAGCATAAGGTTAAAACGAGTCTAACCTAACCTACGCTTAAAAGGAGTCTAACCAAACCTAAGCCTAAGGTTAAAAGGAGTCTACCCTAACCTTAAAAACAGTTGGTCTCTATGATCTTGTATACCACGACCAATACTGGTGTATTGTGCCTTGTTAAGCTTAAGGCTTTTTACCAGAGCCCCTATGGCAAGGGCTACCATGTGGATCAGGCCCTTGGGCTTTTCCTGTCCTATGAGTCTATCACTGCATAGGCCACCAACAAAGGACATGTTCCACTTTTTCTTCTTCTTGGTAAAATCTGCACAGGCTTCTGGTACTACAAGTATATACTTATGCCTTCAGGGTCTTCATTGTCCAGTCAGCTGTCCCACTATTATTCTAGTCCTAATACATTCTATGCTTTAGTAGGGCTCTGGAATCAGCAGTTAATATCATTATAGTCCTAACACATCCTAGGCTTTAGTAGGCTTCCAGATTCTGAAGTGTCCAGCCAGCAGTCCAACTATTATTTTAGTCCTAGGTTTAGTGTTCTGCCAATATTTTCTGAGAAACTCCTGTCTTGGGATAAGATCCCATTGAAATGAGGTCTTATTTTTAATCCATTGTCTGATAGATTTTACGTTCATGACTGAGCTTTACTAATGAGTATGATAATTAAAAAAATACAGTAATGCTTTATCATAAAATTATATATGAGATACATACTTGAGATGTAGTAAGAATAACTTTGCTTTGTTTCTTTTCACTACCGGTTATTATCATCAAACAGTTCAAAGCGGGGCTGTAGCTTAAGATACTCTCATATTCGTAACTGCAAAGAGCATTTCTTGATCGATGTTCCAGCAAATGTAAGCCGACTTGGTCCACTGCAAGCCACAACACTCTCGGCCAATTTGATGTAAATGATTGCTAAAATTTAATTTATATCCAATGTATATAATAAATTTATGCTTTATTTTATATAACTATTTTTTCATACCATAACATCGAATATTGTGGCTCTGTGTAATGGCCAACTCCTTATAAGATTTAAAAAGGCCTTTTTGGCCTCGGGCGAAGTCATTCCACGCAGGCTTTGGTGGTGGAGGGTTATTCCTTCATGGGGAACGTTTGGAACTAAGCGTGAAGGTAAGCAATGCGAGGCTACACCTCTATAATCAATATCATTTGACGTGCAATCGCCTAGTTCTACCTGTGCTTGAAGAGCTGCTAGCATCATCTAAAATTTGAAGGTAAGTCACTTTTTTTTACAATTGTTTAAATAACATCAACGTACGGCTTCTTTTTCAGCGACTGGAAATCTATCAGCTCTTAATCCATGAAGGACTTGATGATAAAGTAATTCTTTTTCAACGGGATCATCCAAATCCATATATTGATCAAGGAACAGGTGCTTTTTGAATAAGAAAAACTGATGAGGCTTTCTCGACGCTTTCGGGGCTGGTTGAGTATTTGAGTTCCTGTATCTTTCCCACTTTGACATAATATCGGCAACTTTTTCTTCTGCTATAAGGCTTCTCTCAGAATTCCCAAGGACTTCATAAATTGCATAGCCTAATAAAATTTTTACAATATTTTGTTAGCATGCAAATGCACTTTTTGACGGTTATATAATTAACAATTTTTATAAGACATTTACCCATAGCAGATTGTCTCAGGCCTATTTTATCTTTCACCAATTCCATGACATCTTTGGCTGTAGCAGAAGGATGAAATTCCACAGCGTAATACTGTCCATCCATAAAGTGAAACTTGGCGTATATAGGCCTTCTGTTAATAGTGCACATGATTTCTTCCCTTGAAGGTGCCCACTGTCTCCTACGTGTACCTTGAGTTTTATGCAAGCACTGAAAAAAACAAAAAAAAAACACTTTTTTTCATAAATTATTTCTGGCAGCGACAAATGTTAACAATATTGTCAAAAAGGAACATACCTTTTCAGCGAATCTTGCATATTTTCCTTCTTCGGTAATACAGTCACCTGAGCATCTTTTCAAGTGTGCTATTAAATACTTTCTAATGCTTCTTTGAGGAGGCAATACAACTGAACATGCAAGTGATAATAATGCCCAGTGTCTTAAATTAACCCTTGAATTTGGATCGGGATGTTCTGTTGTTTGTTTGATAAGCTGCAGATACAGTTCACCCAGTAGGGTGTCTTTGCGCATCGCTCTTTCCATTATATTTTGAATTAGATTCACATGTTCGTCTTCCGCTCTTCTGACCATTTCGCCTATTGAAAACCGAAATTACACTCTTTTGTCATTTTTAATACATTTATTGTGCTGAGTGTGAATTTGGACTTACCATTTTGTCCTAGACCAGCGTAAGTAAAAATGATGTGAAACATCTGCAGCGCAATTTGGTCTTCAGGCTCCTGAAGTTTCGTTATACTCTGGGTTAATGGTTGCCGATTGAAACACCAAAATGACATTGGATAGCCTTTGTACGTTTCTCCATGGTCAAGAGTGCTATGCTCTGCACGGAATTTATCTAAACGATGTCTGCTTAGCCTAAACAGAATACAGATATTTTTTTTATATCAGGCCCAGAAGCCAAAACACTTGCATGTTTCTTAGTTAACAGGAAAAACATTGTATCTATTGGCATTAAATATGGCAATGGGTATATTTTTTCCATGGGTTGGGTTAGATTCGGTTAGGAATGCTTAGGTTAGGTAGGGTCAGGGTTATGCATGGATTAGGTTAAATATCCATGAATCATGATTCAATGTTTTCCAAAAAGCGGAGAAAATATGTGAATGTGAAGGTATGAAATGTAAGCATATAAAATAAATTTCCTGCATTTGATTAAAAAAAAAATACATATATTTTTTTTTTTTTGAAAAAGCAATTTGGATTCGTTTTAAACGCCCTTGAAAGCATTTAAGATTTATATCAATTTAAAAAAAATTAAATTTTTTTGGTTGGATGAAGCTTTTATTCTCTAAAATCCGGTGTTCTGGATTTAAAAATTCATAACTCCTCCGAACTTTATACTTAATATAATAAATAATGCTTTTAATAATATGTTTTAAATACCAATGTTACATTTGTCTATTTATAAGAGGTTATAGATGCTAATGATGGGTGTAAATTCCTGAAACGTCAAAATAAATGAAAATAAGTAATGTATTTTTATTAAAATGTTTTCTGACATTAACCAACAAATATGATTTTTAATTTTACTTTTAATTGTAATAATTAAAAGAAATGTTATTTTGAAGAAAAAAAGGTTGATTTGAGGATACTATAAACGTTAATATGAAATAAAAAAAAGCTACATGAAATATTGCATGTAACAGGATCAGTGTGGCCCCTACTTAACGATATGTCAAAAATATTAAAGCATTTTTAATTGTACATTTGGTTTGAAAGGGCCTAACTGTAAGAATAAATTTATTTGTATGAAAGGTTAAGAGTGAACGGATGGGTCTGTGGTGGAATATAGAGTACCCACTGACCTGTCAAACTAATTAGGTTATGAGCAGTGCGATAGGAGGGCAAGATTTTGGCGTAATATCAATACCCCAGAGTGCCTCACCTTTTTAAAATTGTACATTTGGCTTGAAAGGCACTATCTGTAAGAATGTATTTATTTGCAGGAGTGGTTTACTGTGGATGGACGGATCTGTGGTGGAATATAGAGTACCCCGTAAACCTGTTAAACTAGTTAGGTTAGGTATAGAATAGGTTCTTTTTACTCTCTGTGTGCGTGTAGTGTGTGTGTTACAAGTTTGATGTATCCTACATTTCAGCAGAAGGTAAATCACCCATGAAGGGGCTAGTAAGCTACTGCATAAATGTGTAAGACAAAATGCAGAAAGGGAAAATGCAGAATAGTGCAGGCTATGACCATCTGTTTGCCTTTAAAAAAAATTACATGTAAGAAAAGAAAGAATTAATTTCTACATATCTAAGGAAATAAGTTATTTAGTTTTACGCCAGGTTTACTTTAATCAAGCTATCACTATTATGTTAGATCAGCAGCCAGTAAATCCTGTTGTTCAATACACATCTCTTACTGAACCTTTTTTTAACTGTACCTAAAGGCATTGAGTGCCCAATTGGAAAAAGTATTGGGTTCCTTGGTCCCCTGTTCTCTTTGTAAGAAACAGAGATCTTATATTGCATGCTTTTGCCTTCTTCTATTGTTTGTGTAAGTGAATTAGTGGATATTAGCATGGCGTAATTGATAGTTGAATATTAAGGACAAGTTATGTAAATGGCAGGTACATCATAAGAATTATTTAAAAATCAATGAATGTGAATATTTAGCATTGGATGTTAAAATGATCTGTTTATGGGCCAAGGGACTTCGGTGAACAATTATATATTTACCTCCTCAAAGTATTTCGAATGAATCCACCTCCTGAATCTAACGGTTTCCTCAGAATATCAGCATCAATAAGTAATCTTCGGCAAGCAACGAGATTTTGGTAAGCTCTGATTCTATCTTCATTAGTTATGGCCTTTACCTACAAGTTAAAAAATCAACATATTTCATAAAGCAATATGAAGAATGTATGATAGCCCAGGGCCGAAGATTCATGTGGTTAAGTCATATAAGGCAACATACTACATAAGGCCAAGCATTGGCCAGAGATTATTCATTAAAAAAAACTTAAGAATAAACCTCAGGATGGTGTATTGGTTATACACAACAGTCAGACCCCTGATACAAAACAAATCCACAACAGCGATGGAAACACTCTTACACATTATGTACAATAGTTAGCTTTTGAGAATGCCAACTCCTGAGATACAAATAAATAAAACCATATCTAAGAAGAAGCCATCACAAAATTCTAAAAAGAGTATTTATCCGTCACTAAATACTAGATAATTCTAGATAGAATTTAAATTAATGAAATGGCTATAATGGCACCTGATAAAATAAGAGGAAAACTCAACTTAGACAACCCAAATGATCATAGATGACAGAAATTCTCTGGAAGAAAGGTAACGTAGTTTCAGAAACATAATATGGTTTGATGGATAAAGATGGAACAGGGAATGGGTTAGGATACAGAGGATGAATTACACCCTAGTAGTAAAACCCCTTGGACTGGTTTCACCTATCTTCCAAGCTGAGGTCCATGCAATTTCTAGACACAGGAGTTGATAAAGAAGAAAATAAAAGGCACATATTACATATTTTCCGACAGTCAGGCAGCTGTAAAGGCACTAAATGTGCTTTTAGCTCCAAACTAGTCTGGTCTTTAGGAGGTTACCTTGAGGTGAGTTTCAGGACATGAAGGTATAAAAGAAAATGGACCGGTGACTAACAACAAAAGAAGGGACCCATGAGACTAGACTCCAGCTAAAGTTGAAGATGTAAAAATAGCACGATAAAGAAAAACTCAAAAGGAAGAAAGCACCAGGTATAGGCAAGCCAAGAGATTGATAAATCTCCCAGAAAAGCAGATGGCAGTACATCAAATGTGGAGCTGAAATACTAGTTTTTATCAGGATTAATAAAAAGATTTCTTGTTTTTCTAAGTTACTGCAGTACAAAAAAAATCTTTAATTTCGAATGTAGGGCTGTTGGATTCGCCTAAAATGTTGTGGCCACCGATGACCCCTAAAGATGTTTTATAAATTAAGCCAGGATGCAAAACACAATTTCCAATGAGTAAGTGGCATTAGAACTCAAAATCTTGAAAAACGAGATAATGGGACCTTATAACACAATAAAACATGTGTTGCAACAGTAGTTGAGTGGTTAAGGTGGCCAATAGGCTCTTGGCCAATAGATCCAGTGGTCGTGGGTTCGATTCCCACCATCGCCTCTGGACTTTTTTTCTGAAGCCTAAGGGGACCAGTGACTACAAAGGAAATCTACATGGCATTCATAAATGGAAGGTTTGGGGCGGGATCAGATCTCAGCGATCTTGAATTTGATCCCGACTCCATTTTGGGGGAACAACACCAGTACACTAAGGGCTCAATTCACACATGTGTTGTGAGCCCCAGAAATGGAGCCAGGAAGAAGTACAATAAGCTATACAGAGCTGCAGCGCTCAGGGGAACTCTTCTAGTTCCTGGTATCCACCACTATTTAAAAAAAAAAATTATTTAAAAAATGTATAAACTACAAAAAAATACGGTTTTAATGGTAATATGGTGCAAGGTTCGTAGTAACAACATGCACAACTTCACTGATTATGTTGCAAGTGTGCAATGTTTCTAAACTATAAAATAAAAAAAGACGAAACACATCTATGATTGTTTACCAAGAAATATAAATAATTCAATAATAAATAAAATGTGAAAAACATAAGCTTTACTTACAGGAACTTCGTTCTCAGTCATCCATGTTGATAAGGCTGGACAATAGCTTACAATTAAGGAGCCTATTTCAGTCTTTTGTTGCGTTTCAAACACAAAACATTTATGGAAGTTCTGGTCACCTTGCCTCATTAAATTAATGGTAATAAAACTATCGCTAGGGTCTAAAAATATAGATTCAATTTCATGGTATCTAAATTCATATAATACAAATTTATCATCGGCCTTTATTAACATAATGCCCTCGAAGTTAACTCCCAAAATGACACTGTTGCCTAGAATATAAAAACAAAAATGAAAATTAATATACAATTTATAAAAATTGGAAAATGTAAAAAATAAGTTGTTACCGTATGACCAGTAGCCTCTATAAGTGACAGTGAACATAGTGGTACCGTAGAGTGGATATTGCATCACACAAGACAGGTACAAGACTTTGGCCATTAAATCAGTCTTTCCAGTACCGTATTGACGATGAGCTTGGGCCAAAATTGGCACCTAGCATTAAAAAAACAAACAACAAAAAAACTCAATAGTAAGGTTTAACAAATTCAATTTTTAATTAACACTACATACCCAAACATCATCTCCTCTTATTCTACTGATCCTGTATGGCAAATAGTTATCAATGTCAGTATAATACTCTAAATGTCCATTGTCTTTTGGATTTCCGAGCGCGACTTGAGCTTGTAAACCTGCCAGCTGAACCGCTACTTTTTCACTGACTGGAAAGTCGTCGCTCTAGAAGGACAAAAGGAAATTATTATATTTTTCAATGACAACAATTGTACATTATGATGATTTTGGTTGATGATGACATCTTACCTTTACGACTGAATAAACAGCTTGAGCATACAGCATATTCACTTCGATAGGATCTTGCGATATTTCTCGTATGTTTCTGAACAGCCGTCTTTTGAAAATAAATCTATTTTCTCCACAACTCAACGTAGTGCTGTTACCTCTTCGACTGATATTAGAAAATGACGAATTTATTGATCCCATGTTAGTTTGCTTGCTAAAACATAACAGAGTAAAAAAAAAAATTATAAAAAAAATTCAAAATCTCCCAAGGGAATGAATGTACTATCGCCACTCTTGTGGTGGTTTATGGCTGATGACTTAATAGGAATAACATAGGACATTGATAAAACTGTTTAATTTCAAATGAAAAGTGGTAAATTGTACTAGGAAACTATAGCTAAAGGTTAAAATACAACTTACATTTCCCACTCGGCTATTATGTCGTATAAATAGTAATGTGCTCTAACATGCTCTTCTCCATCGGGCCGACTCTGATATATTGCCCAACCATCTAAATTTTTCAATCCCAATTTTTCAGCAAGCTTAGCAGTCGCATCGCTTGCTGTATCTGTAGGATGAACGTCGATTGCCTTCGTCCTGCCATCGAGGAAGAAGAAACGGCAGACGATGGTTCCGAGTCTTCTCATCGCCTGATAAGCGCATGAATGTGCATGTTAAATTTTTAAATACTGTGGGATTTATATTTAAATTTTAACTTACAGCTATTTCTACAGAAGAAGGAGGATATTGGCGACAGGAAGCTCGGATATTATTACAATTGTCAATACACCATTGCACGTACTGTTTTAATTTCCCTTCACACTGCAAATTCTTTTTTAAAAAGCAGATAAAGTACTGAAAAATATAGAAATGTGGTTCATTTAATAAAGTATGCAAAAAGTTTTAATTATTTTTAGCAATAAAAATGCTAAGCACCTTGAATAATAATTTGCTTGGTTGAAAAGCAACTACTGCGAGGCACAATAGGAGCCAAAGTCTTTCCGTTCCTTCAGGATTTGGGTTGTTCGTAACTTGCCTGATACACTGGACAAATATTTCATCCCTCAATTCTTCTCTTTCAAGACCAGCACCTATCACCGCCTGAATAGCTTGGACTTCATTTTTTGCTTCACCTCGCATATACTTGCAAAGTTCCTGCATAATTTAAAAATACAATAAACAAATCATAAGATATGTATGAAAGCTTAATAAATATATATTATAATCTAACCCTGAATGTACTGCAAGCAACATTAACATTATCAGGATCAAACATCTGTATATGAGATGTAGGTATACTTGAACCCTTATAATAAGTCACCATTTCATATTTTGGCATCAATTCAATTGATTTACTCTTTCTAGTTAACGTAGCTATAATTGTACCTAAAAATTATTAATTCAACAAATGACAAGAAGATTTTAACTAAAAACAATCCTTAAAAGTAATAAAACAATCAAACCCACCTTCAGGTGTTCTTTCGTGCGAATTGAAATAATTATGTGCAAATTCAACAATATCGTGGTACGTATCTTGCAACGGGTCAACATTTTTTTCTTGTAGTTCTTCCATTTCTTGTATTTTCTTTTCAACACGGAACTTCCTCCTTTGCTCCCGTTCTCCGTCTTCTTGTCCATTACAGCGCCAAGCATTCTAAATGATAATTTTTGTTGGTTCATTGTTTTTGGTAATGATAAAAAAATGCATTTCAAAATTGGAGATGATTCACAAGGCATAGCATTTTACCCGGACAGTCAAAATTAATAATATATGCTAATTTTATAATACAATAATAATTGTATAGTTACTTTATGTCTCAAAACTAGTTTTAATATAAATATGGGGGACTGCAGAAGACGAGTGATTAGTGTATCAAACTCTTGCTCCTAAATACTGCAGTAAGATTAAGATGTGTAAGATTAAGATTAGAGAAGGGATAGGTTGGGTTAGGGTTAGAAATTGGGTTAAATTAAGTTAAGCTTAGGGACATGTTGGGTTAGGTTAGGTGCAGCGTTAGGGTTAGAGAAAGGCTTAGTGTGGTATTAGGGTAGGCTTAGGACAGGTTGGGTTAAGGTTTTGTAGACAGATTAGGTTAACTTAAGCATTAAAACTGGTCGGGTTAGATTAGGTAGGGTTAGGCTTAGAGACAGGCTTGGTTAGGTTAGGCTTAGGGATAGATTGGGTTAGATATGTAACTGTTCATATTTGTTCACCTTGCAAATTATTGATAATAGTTTCAAAGTCCTGACTAAGCCAGATATATTCCTCCAAAGGGAGACACTGGACAAAGGAACTAAATGTTTTTATTTTCTTTAAAATTAGTCCACCTCATTTACATTGATTTTTTAATACAAAGGTTAGGAATAGTTAGGTTAGGTAGAGTTAGTGTTAGGGTTAGGTATGTGTTTAGGGATGGGTTGGGTTAGTGTTAGGGTTAGGTATGTGTTTAGGGATGGGTTGGGTTAGGCTTAGGCACAGTTGGATTAGTGTTATAGAGGTTAGGTTCCATGTCCATGATTCTATGTTCTTCCTTGAAGAGGGAAGAGGGGAAAATGACAGTGGGATTTTTTATTTTTAAGAATTAGACTTCTTTACGAAACAGTAACAAATATAAATATTACACATCTTTTTTGAGTGTCACACATGTACAACACTCTGGATGCGAACGGTTCATTTTCGCGGTCAATTTATACAAAATGATATACAATATGGAACTTAATCATACATGTGGTCGTGGTGAATCAGATAACTGAGGGCTGGCCAAATGGATCTTATGTGGAGGAGTTGGCAAAGGTGGTGGAGAATTATCTTCCCTGGGTCGCACACACTCATAAATTGGTTCATTTCCTTGTTTATTATGTGCAGGTGGAGGCGGTGGTGGCTCCGTTGGTTCTGGAAGTGATGGAGGTTTTAACACTTTAGTTCGACTAGACGATGAATCCATGTTGAGACCTTCAAGTTCCTGTTGTATAACTGTTTCAAGCTGAATTAAAAAGATTATGAATTAGTTTAAAACCAATTCTATAGAGGACACAGCATATTGTTATGTTCACCTCAACATCCAAATCAGAAACTAATTCGTTCATTTTTTGTCCTATTTCATCTATAATACAGTTTTTCCCCGATTGCTGTACATCCGATAGAAATGCAAATAGGTTATCTAAATCAACAGAATCTCCAGTAGGTTCGTTCAATTTTGGATTGATTTGTCCTGCTATTTGCGATAAAGCAGCAATATCTTCTGAAGCAGAGCTGAAACAATGAAAATTAATTGAAAATTGTAATAAACAATAGAACCAAAAAAATATTTACCTCTTAGAACTATCATCCTTTGTTGTTTGTGCATTTTCACTATTTTTTTTCAACTCTTCTTCTTTCTGTCTTCTTTCTTCCTCCATTTTTTCCCTTTTCCTCATTTCTTCCTCTACTCGGCGCATCTCCTTTAATGCAGCGGCAACCTGAGGAAAACACATAAAAATACATTTACTATAATTAGGTATGTATATAAAAATTATTTTCTTTACCTCTCTTGCAAATAATCCTCTTAAGTGCGATTGGATAATAATGGCTGCTCTCCTTTTTTGTAAGAAATTCAGCCTTAACTTCCAGCCTCTGTATGCATGTTGAATTTGAATAACAGCACTTCTGAGTTTTTTGAAACCTATAAAAATACAATGACTCTAAAACGTTTACTTTGGATAAAATCTAGAAAAGTTGTTGACTCAATCCTTATTTTTCCATTTATCATAACATAAAATCTAAACATATTCATATAGGCTAAAAGAAGAGAAATTCAGCTTTTCATCTGGTGCAGTTTTATTGAATTTGAATAAATTTAAGAGGAGTTATGAATTTAGTGGAACATCAGGCCAAATAAAAAAAAGCCCCACAACTAAATGATCTACCCTAAAAATTAAATATTTTTTATTTTTATAAAAATTCATAAGTAAAAGTTTTAAAAAGTGTTTAAAATGAATCTAAAAATTTTTTACATATTTTTTTTATTTTGGTTTTCCTACTTTACTGAGAGCGTCTTTTGGTTTTCATAATTTTTTATATATCAAATCTCCTTTAATACAATCCTGTATATTATTTTTTCATACTACATAAAATTGACTGACATATAATAACCTTGAAATAATAAAGACAGAAAGCCATATTTTAAAAAAGATTTTTTCAGCTCCTAGCAGCCACTGGCAAGATCGTCTGGATATGTCCAATGTTTTAGTATGCTATTTTTCTTAATAAATATTCCATACCCATCAGATGTAAAAATGTATTTATCGGGTTACTAATCATTTTATGCCATTTACCATAAATTATACATGCCTTGGAGTTTGACTGTTTTACACCCACAGGTGTGAAAAAATTAATATCTCCTCAATAATTTCTTTTATTCTGGTTATTATTTTTTTGTATCTAACGAAATATAACATAGGCAAACGATAAACTACGACTTATGTTTCAAAAGTTATCATTAGTATTACCACTAATCGAACACATCATTACTAATTATTATTAGATAAACAAATACACTTACTTTTTTTAGCAACATAGCCTTTCCACCTCTTTTGAATGATCATAGCACTTTTATGTACAATATTCTGCCGTTTATCTTCTAAAGGTTCATGAACACAACTTCTCAGAAAAACTTTCGTTTTACCAAGCTGCCACTCTTTATTGTTGATATTAAATAACTTCATTATATCTCTACAAATAATTATGAAAACATTAATCAAAAACACACAAAAATGAATAAAATTTGAATTAAAGGTCAATCAATAAAAAATTTAACAGATTATTATTGATTTTCTAATGTTTCGAGGTTTTTGAGTATTACTATTTTTTTTTAATACCTGATTGCGTTTCTTTTATCAAGTACCACTTTCCAGTTGCCAAGGCATTTGTATCTTCCAACAAAATCATCTATTGTCATATGAATCGGAAATCCTTCTTTTCTTATCCGAATAATATCCAGCATTCCCAGGTATTTCAACTGATCGAGAACTAACTTTTCATCAAATTCGTTTGACATTTTTTTCATATTAGGCTTGATGCATCTGACATACCTGTGATTTGTACAAGTTTAAAATATTGGTATTATACTCATATAAAAGAGGTCATGTTCATTATTGATAACTACCATGGGTTTGTTGCTTGAAGAACGTCAACAAGTGCTTGAAGCTGGTGTCTAAAAGTATCGCTGACCGTAGGTTTTCCTTTACTCGTACCTCTAGCCATTGTTGTCCCCGTGTTTGCCATTCTTGAATTAGAAGTTGTCAACAAATCCTAAAACAATATAAACAGCGTGTATTTTGCTGACAATTCACAATAAAACAAAAGTTACCTGATAATTTGTCAATTCTTGAACAAATTCATTTTCAGACCGGCTCATGAAATCAAAGAAAACATCTTGCTGAACATCCCTGTTTTTATCGACGAAGCCATTGATGGCGTAAGTGACTGTCCCGGCATAGTGTTCGATTCCGAATTCTTTTTCCCACTTCCTTCTATCATCACCTTTTACATACTGAGGATGGGACTCAAATTCAGTGTGAAGATTTACCAGATAGGCACCGTCTGAGCCCTCAAAACAAACATTTTCTTTAGATTTAGAGTTTAACATTGATAAGAAAGACAATTGAAGAAGTGAGCACTATAGCAGCTTTTCATAAACCTGTCCTTCTTTTTAATACATCTTTAAATTTGTCAATCAATTCAGCAATTTAGAGTCTTATTAGCCGAGGGAATGTTGTTTACAAAAGAAAATGCAACATTTACAAGCAAAATAAATAAATAAAAATAAAAAAGTATAAAAAACCTAAAGAGCTGGTTGTGCTGAAGAAAGAACCATTTCTTATAAAAAATGTGGACTAACCCTTAATTTAAAAGGACCTCAAAGTGAAAGGAAAAATAATGGACCATGGGTTAGTGTTAGTATTAGTGTTAGGTTTAAAGGTGGGTAAGTTAGTGTAAGGGTTGAAGATGGATTGGGTTAGGTGACAAATATGAACATCCACCAATTTATTTCTGATATAAAAGGTTAAAGGTTGTAGATCTCATTCCGGTATCAACTCTGAAATTCTATTCCTCTCAAAAACTTTAAAAATCCGAGTGTTTCTTTTAGCCAAATTAGCCTAATCCCTGGGAACGGTTAGGTTAAGTAATAGTAGGGTTAGGTTAGTGTTAGGGTCAAAGACAGGTTCGTTAGGTTAGGTAGGGTTAGTGCTAAAGATGGGTTAGGTTAGAACAGGCTTAGGGATGGGTTGGATTAGGTTAGTGTTAGACAAGTTAGGCTTAGGGATGGATTAGGTTATGTTAGGCTTAGGGACTGGTTGGGCTAGTGTTAGAGATGCGTTAGGTTAGGTTAGATTTAGGGACAGGTTGGTTTAGGTAGGTTTGGGTTAGTGTTAGGTTTAAAGGTGGGTTGTGCTGAGCTGAAGAAAGAACCATTTCTTTCAAAAAATACGGATTAACTCTTAACCAAACTTCCTAAACGGGAAGAAATTTTAGAAGGTCCTCGAAAATAAAGAAAACAGATTTATGAAGGTCCTCAAAGACAAAGAAAATGGATTTATAAAAGGATCACAGATACTACTTAAACATACACTCTTAGGCTGCTCGTCCATTGGAACCGAACTACGACGGCCGTTCAACAGCCGAACTATTTGATCAAACGGACGACCGGCAATATAGCCGAACGCCGTCGTCCATTGTAGCCGATTTTCATCAGTTCACGACACAGCCCAAATGGATGTAGAAGATTTGATGCTGCTTGAAAATTCTTAGTTTACATACAAATGGAATGAAAGAAATAAACAAAAATATTGGAAGTTCCATTTCTAAAGCTATCCTTGACCACAGCTTACGCTGGACATCTCTCCGATGATAGAGTGGATCACGCATGTCCCAAGAGCCTGCTCCTCAACCGCACTTATCAATTTTTCGCAATCCATCGAAATGAAAACGAAACGAAAAGGTAAGCAAAAAGCAAAGAACGGCGTTAAACAATGGTGAGCGTTTGATGTCACGTGGTTGACAGTTGAAGTCGAAGTAACCATTCGGCCGAATAGGACTGGAAAATCCAACTTTATTTGGATCGGAAAGTGCTTCGGCCGTACACGGCCCAACACGACCGAACGAATTGGTTCTAATGGACGCGTGCTCATTCGTTTCTTCACTTTTGGATCATCCGGCCCTATTTGGCCGTGCGACGGCCGAGCAAGTTCCAGTGGACGGCCTCCCCTACAGGGGATTAAAACTTAGTCATCCTTCAGTTTCTTAAATTCTTACCTTCTTAGGTATGTCATTTGTAACTTTACATTTGGACCTCCCCCCCACAATACATAGAAAAGAACAGACTGAAAATACTACTTGACAATGGAACAAAAATACAAAAAACAAATGCCTCATTCACACTACTACAACCCTTATAGATGTATGGAATTGAACTGATGCTTTCCAACCTCCAAAGAAGATGGTCTCTTCGTCCAAAATACTTCGAACCATTGACCAAGCTCCCTATTTTGTATATAATCAATGATAAAATAAAATGCAATATCAATGCTTAAAAAATAAATATAAAAAAATAAATAAATAAAATAAAAAATAAAAAATGCAAAGGCGTTGACACGGCGCTCATCACTGTNGAATCGGACCATGGACAATATGAACTTTTTTGTTCATTTTAGGGTGAAGAATCTACTGGAGAAGTTTGTAGCACGAGTAGCAATTCACCCTGTATATAACAAAAAAAAAATACTCAAGAAAATTTCATATACCAAAAAATTTTGTTGTAACAGAAGTGATTGCTAAAAGCATACTCACGATTTCTTGTTCCAAGGCAAACACATAATGATTGAAAAATTTGTGGAGTTTTTCGTTTGTATAGTTAATGCATAGCTGTTCGAATGAATTGACTGCGAAATTTTCAAAACCAAAAATGTCAAGCACGCCAAGGAATCTGGATGAATCTAATCCTGGATTTGTGCAAGTGTTGATATGATTCACTAGCCATGCAAATGTCCGGGAATACAGAGCTTTTGCCATCGCATGCCTGTTTTCAATAGCCTAAAAAAAGGAGATACATTAAAACATGTTCATATGTTAAATGTATTATTACATTACTTCTTGTAGTTTCAGTGGTATTTCAGTGATGTTCCCTCTGACATTGATCTGCCTTAGCAGGGTTACCTGAACAATGTCTGGTACTTGCAAGCCGAGCAGTTTAGCCACGTTCTCCAAAACTTCCATGTCTTCATCAGTCAATTTACACTTTTCTCCATCAATATCCTGAACAGTTATATTTTATTTTTAAAAATGTAGGTAAATAGGTGCATACAACTGAATAAAGTTGAATCTTACCTCAAAAGTAGTATTTCCGAGCCATAAAATGGCAGAGAGAACTCGAAAAATACCGTCGCACATATTCATAGGTATCCTTAATACGTTAAATGCTAATCGCAGTCCATCGAATTTCCATGCATCGTTTACACCCTCAATTTTGATGCAGCCAGATTGATTAAGATATTTATAAAATTCTGCAGGTTTCAGTCTAAATTGTTCCACTAAATCTTTGTTTCCCTAAAAGTAAATTATACACAAAATTAAATCCATCAAATGTTTGTTGTGATGTAAAACTGTACTAATAGGTAACAAAATTTATTTAATATTTCGGAACTTTCAGATTACATCCATTACACTATGTTAACAACAAAAATATTATCCTGCAGAATTTTTACCATTACATTTAGAATTTTGAGGCTGTTTATCAATTTAGGCTCATTTTATTTTCAAGTTTTTAATTAAGATATAATAGGATTACCTCATAATATAAAGGAGGAAGCTGAACTGATCATTTTGGTCTGCCTATCTCTCATTGTTCTTGTCTGTGTCATAATTGCCAAACGAACTTGTGAAAAAGTTTTCTGATAATGATTTGATGCAATCAACCATTTCAATTATTGTTTGACTTGGTAGGTTCTCAGAATGGGAAAGTATAGATAAGTTAGGCAGTATGGCTAGGATGGATTGTGAGCTTAATGTAGAACTTTTAGAAGCTGGATCGGATCAGCTCATGGTCAAAAAGAATGTTGAGGTCATTGTGTATAGTGAAGTTAGGTGACAATTTGTCTGAGGACTTTTGATTGAATGGTTTGGATGTACTGGATATTGGATGAGTTTTGATAGTCAAAACAGATTTCGGTTCTAAGTCTTTGAAGTTGTCCAAGACTTCTGTTAAGTTGTCTTGATGTTAGGATGGATAAGATAGTCAGCAGTATAAATTGTGTAAAGGATGGGACCAAGAATACTCTCTTGTGGGACCTTTCCAGTGAATAAAACAAACTGGGGAAACAATTTATATTAAATTATTAAGTAAGTTTCTTACCTTGGCTCCCTCAACTAATTGGTAAAACACGTGGTAATTTCTTTCTCCAGTACTTTGAAATGTTATTCTTGATTGCTCGAGTAGATAATCTTGTATAATGCACCCTTTGATCATCCATTTGTTATCAAAACAGACTTGCATAAATTTACCAAATCTACTTGAATTATCATTTCTAACCGTCTTAGCATTACCTAAAATAAAGTTAAAAAATTTTGAACTGCAATACTTGATCATCTTTCGTTCATATTTTATGCTGTGATTGGTGAATTCAATTTACATAACCGAACTCATATATTCAAAAATGTTTACCTCACATGTTGTATTCAAACTAAAACTTGGATAAGTCAAAAATGTTTAAAATTTATAAAAAGAAAAATAATAATAAGACTACTTGAAAAGAATAAGTGATTGATTCAGTTTTTGGATGGACTTATGTTAGGGCCTTCTTGATCATTCTAACCAACGGCTACAATAAAGTAGAAACATATTGGCGAACAAACACAGTGATTTTCTATAAGTGTAGATTCTTCTATCATAAGTGTATATAAAATAAATCTGACAGGTTCTCATGGATTGACGGTAAGCCCAAACAATTGGTCAGAACTCTGGAAATATGACCAAACTGTGGACCAACCATTTAGAGGAAGTAAGTCTTAAACTGTGGAGGGATCTTAAATGAGCAAGCAGTATGCTTTATCCACTGCCACCGAGAGCAAACCTATTAGTATACAAAGTTGCCAAAATGTAGATCCACCAGACAATGGATTAAGAATAAGTCCTTGGCCCAATGGGATTGTTAGGACTAGAATTGTAGTAGAACTGCTGACTCTAGAAGAGGATTAGAACAAGAAATAAAGTAAGACTGATGAATCTGGAGGCCTACTAAAACATATGGCGACATTTAGGGCTAGAATAATAGTAGGACTGCTGACTCCAGAGGCCTACTACAACCTAGGATGTGTTACGGTGTTAGGACTACAATGACAGTACAACAGCTGACTCCACCGTCCTACTAAAACATAGGAATACATAAATGTCCTAACACCGTAACACATACTAGGTTGTAGTAGGCCTCTGGAGTCAGCAGTCCTACTATTATTCTAGCCCTAAATGTCGCCATATGTTTTAGTAGGCCTCCAGATTCATCAGTCTTACTTTATTTCTTGTCCTGATCCTCCTCTAGAGTCAGCAGTTCTACTACAATTTGAGTCCTAACTACTAGAATGATAGTAGGAATGCTGACTCTAGAGGCCTACCAAAACCTATTGCTTTTAGGACTAGAATGATAGTAGGACTGCTGGCTCCAGAGGCCTAGTAAAAATTAGAACATTTTAGGACTAGAAAGATATAGGACTGCTGACTCCAGAGGCCTAGTAAAACCTAGAATTATTTAGCACTAGAATGATAGTAGGGCTGATGACTTTAGAGGCCTAGTAAAACTGCAGATAAACGCGCAGATATTGCCAGGAACAAGAAGAGTCTTTGATTCAGCTCATGCAGGCTGGGATTCTTAGTCATGGGAGAGGAAAAACCAAAGCCTGATCCACATGGAGCCCTAAACAAACCTTTAGGATAAAAGTAAGATAAAAATATATAAAGGTCTATTGCTACGAATGTGAGAGTGTGCTATGACTAAACAACAAATCAAATAAAGACAGGCCCTAATAAACAGATAGATTTTGAGAAAACTGTAACGAAAAATTGCTGAAATACTGTAGTATCTTACAATTTAATGCTTGAAAAGAAAGTACAGACTCTCCTGAAAAAGAGATGCGCGTCAAAATTCAAATTCATCCAGTAGAAGTGGAGTTAAAACATAATATTGGGGAAAAACACAGTTTATCTGAAAGACGGTAGCTACCCACAATGTTCATTTAATTGTCTCACCCTGGTAAAAAAAAAACATTTAAACCTTACATGTAAATTTTAGACAAAAAAAAAATCAAACAGACTTACCAAAAGCCTCTAGAATCGTATTGGCCTCCAGTATTTGTTGTTCGACCCAAGTGCTCACATTGCTCGTAACAGAACATAGGTACTGCAGTATGAATTTTGTCGTCTCCGTTTTTCCTGCTCCACTCTCACCTGATATGACACAGGACTGGTTGTTATCTTCAGTTTGCAAGTTTTTGTAAGCAGCTTCGGCAAGTGCAAACACATGGGGGTCCAGAGTTCCCATTTTCTTTCCATGGTACTCAAACACATACTCCTAAAATGTCATCCGTTTTGTAAGAAAGGGTAAACTACCGATCAGAACTAGGTATGGACATTGCAATCATGGGTAACTTAAAACAACATAATATGAAAACCAATACAGCCATGGAAGAATAGACCGGGGGGGGGGGTTAAAAGAGGTGATGTTTAATCTCCAATCCTTTGCTGTTCCCACAATGAGTTTAAAACTCAACGAAGTTTTATTACTCTCATTCCATTTTTCTAGGCTATCTTTTCATTTTATTTTATTACACATAAAAGTTAGTAGGGTTTTTTATAGAAATTGTCTTTACCGGTGGGTTGTGATGTGGAGAAGAAAGTTTTTACTCCTTGGCTTGTATCAGCAACTATTTACATTAAATTAAGACATAAACTTTATTTGACAGTTTGTCTACTCAAAATAGTTTAATAGCCTGTGAAAATTTTTTTGTGGTGTACAGGGACTTTTTTTCAGGGTGGTGTGGTTTCTTGAGTCGCCACTCTCTGAAAGAAAGAAGGCATTCCTTGCGTCCTGCCTCTGGCTCCAGGCGCTATCGATTTCCATTAGATTTGGAACCGCAATTTCAGAAACTCTTAAATTGACTTAACACATGGCCTTAAACAGGTAAATTAGGCATAAAAAATATCTCATTTTTTTTATTTACTAGAAATAACACTTAGTACTTGTATTTTCTATGATTGAAACAACTCACTACTTTAAACAATAAAAAATAGTGATCAATTCATCCAGGGCAGAACTTTAAGAGCAACTGTCAAGATCATAATCAATAATAACGGATCATTGGGCATCTAGGGCTTTGAAAATCGTATAATGATTAAGCAACATTTCAATTAAAGGACATAAGCAATAAACACTTTAAAAAAAAAAGTAATCCCTGTCACACAGGAGGGCTTAACATCCACCTGCCCATTGGGCATCGAGGTTGAGGGGGCAGAACCATTAAAAGTACCTTTTTCTAAATTAATTTCAAATTGAAGTCCAAGTGCTATGCCCCGACTAGCATGGTGAAGATGAGAATCAATAAAAAAAAATGCACATAGTATAAATTTACATGACGTAGATTCCCCCCCCCCACTAAGACAACTTAATAGAAGTCTTGGACTTCTACAAAGACTGTTTAGGCCCAAAATCTTGCATAAAGGGTTCCGAGGCCACGTGCTATTTTACATATCCAATCCTTCCAATCAAAAGTCCTCTGATGCATTGTGGAAGCTTCTTAATACGTCAATAACCTAGCTTTCCAACCTCTTAATCCATCCTAGCCCTACTGTCAAGACCTTTTTGCACTTTTCCATCGAGACTCCTTCAAGTTGCTAAAAATGGCTTTCACACCAAAGAGACAAAAATGTGCCCATAAAAATATAGTTTTCTGCTTTTGTTATGCATGTATTTCATAGGCACTATATTCGATTGATCATTTGGGCATTTTTTTCTCTGATGTTCAGTATGCGGAATTCAAAAGTTCATAACTCCTCTGAATTTTATCAAAATTTAACGGCAGTACAAAAGTTAGAAAGGCTAATTTCTCTACATTCACATTATATCAAATATGTTTAGATTTTATGCCATTATAAATGAGAAAAATTAGCATGAAATCAACAAACGCTCCTGAAATTTTTTATTTTATACCTCTGGTTTTGATTTTTTTTTAGGGAGGACAGGTTGTGCCATTACATGTAGATTATAGGACTCCAATTTATTGTAAAATTTCCGGAAGATCGCTGGAGACGTTTCAGAGTTAACAGCACTTTTGTGACTTTAAAAACAAAATTGCAGCCATTTTTAGAAGATGAATATTTTGAGAGAAAAATTAAATTTTTTTTAATTAAAAAAAAAAAAAAAAAAAAAAAAAAAAATCAGCGCCGTGCCACTGACCTTGTGTGCACCAAGCTTAAGAGTTATCAACTTAGCACAACAGAGAAAAAAATTTTCCTACAAGCCCAAAAATGTCTATTTTTTTTGTTTGCTATAAAACTTCATATTTGAGGGCTTTAAAGGATGCTTAAAATGAATCCAAGATTGTTTCTTTAAACACTTTCTATTTACCTACTTTACAGAGAGCGTCTTTTGGTTTTTGTACATTTTTATATACGTAATCTTATTTAATATAAATCCTGCATATTATTTTCTTATCCTAGGTAATAAAACTAAACTTCTTGGAGAGAAACAAGACTTTAAAAAAGTTTGAGTTTTTTTAATGTGAGTACTTACTGAAGAATATATATCCAGATCTTTATATGGATTAACAGCAACCAGTATCGTCCCAGTATATGTCTAACAAAAGGTTCAGGAAAATATAAAAACACACACTTCAAAATTTAAAAAAAACAAAAACCTAGTCAAAAGGCAATTTGAAAACAAAGGAAAAAAATGAAAATTCAATTTTTGAAATAAACCATGAGTTGTCAAGACAAAGGATACATATATGATGTTATGGTCGTATCGAACTTTAAGGTTTTCTTGGATTCTGACTTCATCTATGTCCGATATAAGTGTCATATCAGGTACTCCAACATGATCCCTTCCTGTAAAAATATTATCAATATATTAATGACTTTACAATGTAAATAAAAAGTGCTGTTCAGTGAGAAAAATAATCATGTGAACCTGTTTAAATAATAATACAGTGTACATTCTACTGGGATCAACAAATACTTATACATCCCTGTAATTTTGATTTATAGTTTTAGACAACATAAGGAAACGATTATTAAACTTGTTAACATTTCCAACGTGTTCATTTTCCGACGAAGCGTTTCTTGAATATTTGGTCCTTGGGCCGGATTGGCCCAATATTAGACGCTTGGTGCTCAAAACAAGTTTGATCTGTCACACTTCACAAATAGAGTAGAAATAAAAGACATTCTAATTACTATTTGGTCCTCCGGGCCGGATAGGCCCAATATTAGACGCGTGGTGCTTAAAACAATTTTGATCTATCAGTCTTTAAGCAGATTATTAACCATTAGAGTAGAAATGGAAGAAATTCTAAATATTATTTGGTCCTCCGTGCAGGATAGGCCCAATATTAGACGCTCAAAACAAGGTTGATCTGTCAGACTTTAAGCCTATTATTAACAAATAGAGTAGAAATTGAAAACATTCTAATTACTATTTGTTCATCCGGGTCGGACAGGCTTAATCATGGGGCAAAAATATATCACTATGCCAATATTCCAGTGAATTTTCGGACAATAACTACTTCCTGGGAAACGATCCGGCATGCTCAGCTAAAATTAAGTCAATCCTGTGACTAAGGCGATCCTTCTCTTCAGTAGACTTTCAAAACCTCCGGGCCAATTTGATGTAATAATAATTCTCAATAATATTAAACCACAAAACGTTTCTTGACAAATAGATTAGGAATTAAATAGATGTAGGGCGTCGGTGGCCGCAACAGTTTACACGCCGCTCATCACTGTTAAGGTGGTCCAGCGGCCCTGCATTCGAACCCGACAAACACCGGCACCCTGAGGATTTATATGACGTCTGCTGTTGCGAATCCTCGTTAAAAAAAAAGAGAGAGAGAGCGAGAGAGAGAGAGAGAGAGAGAGAGAATTTTTTTTTTTAAACGAGGGTTCGCAACAGCAGAGGTCATATAAACCCTCAGGGTGCCGGTGTTTTTGAAAAAAAAGGCCATTTGTAAGTATGTCGGGTTCGAACGCAGGGCCGCTGGATTCGAACCCGAGACCTTTACCTTACAGTGATGAGCGCCGTGTCAACGCCTATAAACCGTTGCGGCCACCGTTGCCCCCAGAGAGAATTATGATTTGGTACTCCTAGGATAGGGTTAATCTTTGACGCATGTTGCAATAATTAAGCATGTCCAGCCTAGTAAGACTTAAGATATTGTCAAACACAAAGCGGAATGCAATAGGAACTCCTTCGTCCTGGATGCAAGTCCGACCCCGCTTCTTCAGATTACCGCTTATTCCGGTCCATGGCCCAAAAATTTGTCGCCGCACGTTTCTCGCCTTTAAAGGCTCATCTTGGTACAGAAAATGGAATGAATTACAGAACCAGCGATAGTATAAATAATTTATATTTGGAGCAATAGTTGCAGTTATTATTATGGCCGTTTAAATCAACACAGCAAATCAACAGAATTTGGGCCTTGCCCTAAAAAAATACCCCTTTGGCCCTCTTATTGTTTAACTACACAATTCTATTACAAAGCGTATCTCACAACTTCAACTCAAACGCCCAGTTATGCATATGAAACATGTATAAATGTATCCGTAGCAACATGTACGATATGCAAAGGTTCAGTTCTGGCAGTATAATGTTTATAACAAAGTAACAGGTAGCCCGAGCTGTTATAACAAAAAGTCAATTTAAAAGACTACCATCGATTAACCTTTATTAGCCCTCTAACGATAGTGACACATTCACCCTTATAACTTTATTTACAGATCGAAAATGCCTTCAACATGTAATTATTATGTATAAACGTCGTTTAACACAGCCAGGCTTTCTCAAAATCTAGAGAAGCATAGCGGGCCTCGAGATGATCTTTCGACCGACAATGGACAACCTAAATCCAGTTTTTAAATTAACGATTCGATCAAATCAACTGCTAAGCAATTAAAAGCCTACTTTTAATCTCTAAGAAAATAAACGCTTCCTGACTTGGCGACAGGACCTAATATTTATTTTGCAGAGTTTGGCCAGCTGTATCGCCCCTGGGTCCGCTTCGCTATTCGCCCTCGATGGACGAATCGCGTGGGAGGTACGGTTCAGCAGATAAAATCCGTTTTGTCTTTGGGGTGGAAAAAGTTTTTTTTTTACTATGTCCCGTTATTTATGTGTTTTATTTTACCTCGTTTCACCAATGGGCTGCATTTTATTTTCCTGTTGCAAAATGTAGTGTTGCCATGCAAAATTAACTTTAATATCTAGAATAAATGACGGATAACAGTTCACAGCACGGGGCCCATGAAAAATTTCAAACAACCCGTAAAGATCGTACCTTCCAGGGTGAAATTTAATATAATACAAGACAACAAGCGGATCACGGTTCGAATCCCGGCAGAGCCCATGATTTTGTAATTGATTGGCACCCGATGGGTAGTTAAGCCCGCCTGTAAGGCAGGAATTACTTTACGAGACAACATTTAAACCCTAAATTCAGTGAAACAAAACGGATGAAAAACTCACGTGCGCACTTCCTGTTTTATATGCGACTTGAAATCTTAAGCACCGCTACAATAAAACAAAGAAAGGGGGGAGCATTTAGTAATAGAAGCTAGAAGAGGAAGAAGCGATGAGAATTTTAAGTTCGGATCTATTCGTACAGTTCGTGTTACTGACAGCATGTTTGAATTTAGACACAATTGTAACTGTATTAGGTAATAGGAAAAAAGTAGATTCGTCATCTTCAATGTTGGGTCTGTCTTGATTTTCTTTCCGAATTACGAAACAATCTAGGTTAAACTATTTTTTTAATCAAGAAACAAAGTTGATATTCGTTTTCTGCGTTCGAAAAAACCTGAATACAAATTTTTCGGGAAAAATTCATAAAAATTTCTCTCAAATTTTTCACCGCTGATTTTTTGTGAAAATCACAAAAATGGCCCTAACTTTCAAAATGGCAACACCGAGCCCCGAGAAAGGAGTTTAGAACTACATTTAATGGCACAAACTTCACTTCCGCAAATAAATTAGAACCGGTGCTGTAAAACAAAACGTTTGTTTTTGTTGATTTCGTTGTTATTTTCTTACTTATAATGACATAAAATCTGAACATGATAGATATAAGTCTAAAAGCAGAAACATTTACGTGACATCGGAGACAAAAATTGCACCCGGCAGATCCAGCCCAAAAATGTATATTCTTTGGTAAATTCGTATGTGTCGGCTTTAAAGTATGCTTAAAATGAACCAGAATTGGTTTTTTCAATAACAAATCTTTTATGTCTACTTTACTGAAATAGTTTTTTTGTTTGGTTTTGTAACTTTTTATAAATCTAATTTAATCCAATCCTGCATATTATTTTCTTATTCTATATTTAAAAAAACAAAACAACAACAATAAAAAAACGTATTTCAAGTGGCTAATTTTTTTTTCTTGGCTCCTCGAGTCCATTGCCAAGAACGCTCGGACACGAGCCTTATATTTCTCGACCTAGTATAGTGACCAATAACGTAGGACCCAGGATTGAGCCTTGAGGGCGCCTGCAATTAGAAAAATTAAACCAACGTCTGACCCAGAATCGAGTCTTGGGGGTCGCCAGCAATTAGAAAAATGCGAACAACTTAGGATTGAGAGGCGATCCTGGAGGGACGCCTGCGTTAATCTTGAAAGGGGAAGAAAGAGAATTATGAAAGAATGCCATGAGAATTAAACGAAGAGGAATCTGGAAATTATCAACTGTCCAGGGTAGTGCACGTTTCGAGGTTTGGAAATGAAGAAGGGTCAATTTCACAATAGATCTTTTAGGATCGCAGTGGAAGAAAGACTAGAGTCTCGAGCGACACAGGAAACAGAAAATAGTGTAAGTACGAAATTGAATAACCGGCCTTTCATGATTTGATTAAAATAGACAAACAAGAAAAAACCGCACCCGAGTAAATAAAGAAAATTAAAACAAAAATAATTTACAGATTAAAATTGATAAACAGTCTGCGGTTGAATGTATTCGTTTATTGATTAACTCTGGATCCGACGCATTTCGGCTCCATTCCATCATCAGTGATCTGTTCAAGTAAACAACTTGACGGTGAATAAACAAACTGACAATTGTTAGCCGGATCCACACGATTTATTAACGAGGTACGTTGTAATTTAACTGTAATGTTATCGATGATCGCCTAATATCCATTTAATCCTGGCGATCTTCATGCATAATTCAGGTGTAGATTTTTTTAACGGTATGTCTAACTTTTGTCATTTTTGGAGACACCAAGAAAAAATTTTACAAGAGAATTTGTTTAATTAGGTGGGGAAAGTATTTTCCACTTCGGAATTTGTTTCTTAAAGTAAGACTCTTCTTCATTTTAGAATTTTGTCACGAAAATAAAACCAGCCCCTAGTCCTTCATTAGTCTTTCTCCTTCCTTTCATTGCGGTAAAAATACCACAATGAGTCACAAGTCTGGACGTTTTACAAATTTACAGGTCTTTTTAAAACAGATCCAGTAAAATTTTTATGCTGAATGGCTTTTTAACTTTTTAGTGACAAAGGGGAAAAAATTTAAGGGTCTATATAGAGGAAACGTCTTAGTATTCACTCGGCGTCCCTCTCAGAGCGTCTATCCTGTCCGTTTAATGCAATAACACTCATCTCCGGCCGGGACAACTACGACAACAGCCCATGTACACAATAAACCGCTAATTTTGCAATCCAAGGCGAAAAAGCTCATTGGCAGTTTCCTATCTGGTGGGATGTAAATTCACAAAACAAAAAACAACTACAAAAGACTGGCACTAACAAATTAGACTATAATTTTCTCATATATTTACAACCTGGCAAGTTTAATCGTAAGTTAAAAATTAAAAAAAGAAATCCGATCGTGTTGTTTTC